TATTAAGTGAATTCCCTTCCTCAATTAGCTATGTGCGCTCAGTGAGCTCCATAAGGGGTTCTGTATCTCAGTAGTTTTGACTCCATCCCTGTCTGTTCCTCAAAATCTCTTTTGATTAAGCCAGTTCTTGGTATCCTTCATAGGCTTAAGCGAATGATAAGAACAGTATACCAGCTCAGTATGTTCCCTGCAATGAACACACAACCATCAAAAGGTGTGTACAACAAACCAGTCCTAAAAGGAACACCTTGGACCTCTTAACTTAAGGTTATGTCCTGCGAGAAAATAAACTGCCTTTTTTTCTTTACCTGGCACTGGGTCTTATCTCTGCTTTTACACTTCACATTGGATTGTGGCCTCCATGAGCTTCACATTTTCCTTCCATACCTATTTTTTATTGAAAAAAGGCTGTCTCCCCAAGCATTCCTTCCAGGTCTGCCTGTAGAAATCTGGGTTTTAGATTGAGTAGCAGCACCAAAGTCATGTGGAGTCCTGTCTGTCTAGTCCAGTCAAAAGGCAGACTAGAAGAAAAGCAGGCATTCTGCTAACACACCAGGGATTTCCAGTCACTCGCAGAGGCAGCAGAATTAACAGGAAATCAATGAAAGCAGTCATTGATGTAGGGACAATTGCATAGTGGGTGTGCGGCTGGTAGATCGCTTACAGTGCTTAGCTGGTACAAGAAGTCCTTGCATGCTGTGTGTCAGCACAAACGTACCAACTGAAGGGTATTTCACTTAGGAAATCAGCACAACTACATCAGGAAATCTCAGGGGTTTACTGATGGGACTGAACAGTGAGCATGATGGGAATCAAGAGCTGGTCAGAGTGAAGGTAAGGTGCAGAGTTTGCAGGATGCTGGCACAGTGACCTCATCACACTGAGCAATGCAAGCCAGATATAGCAATTTCCAAATCTTAAATTTCAGCCAAATCTGAATAAAATTTTAAGGAATAAAACAAAAATTAAAAAAAAAATATCACACAATATTTAAGGTTGGAAGGGACCTCTGGAGATCATCTAATCCAACCCCCTTGCTCAAAGCAGTCAACTACAGAAGGTCACTCAGGGACTTTTTCAACCAGATTTTGAATACCTCCAAAGATGGAGACCTCTATGAGCAACCTGTTCCAGAGTTTGACCACCCTTACCACAGAAATTTGTTCTGTTTAAATGGAGTTTCTTGTATTTCCATTTGTGTCTACTGCCTCCTGTCCTATCACTGGGCACCACCAAGAAGTCTGACTCCGTCTTCATTGCACCCTTCAGATATTATACACACAGGTAAGATCCCATCCAGAGCGTTCTCTTTTCTGAACTAAACAGTCCCAGCTCTCTTGGCCTTTCCTCATACTAAAGACAGTCCAGTCCTTTAGTCATCTTAGTGGTCCTTCACTAGGTTTACTCCAGCATGTCTGTGTCTTTGTTGTACTGGTAAGCCCACAACTGGATCCCGTATTCCAGCTGTGTCCTCATCAGTGCTGTGCAAAGAAAAGGATCAGCTCCTTCCACCTGCTGGCAATGGTCTTCCTAATGCAGCCCAGGAGGCTGCTGGCCACCTTTGAACATTGCTCACTTGTGTTCAACTTTGTGTCACCTGGGAACCCCAGGTCTTTTTCTGCCAAGCTCCTTTCCAGCCAATTGGCCCCTCACATGTACTGGTGCATGGGGTTACTCCTCCCCAGGTGCAGGGCACTACATTTCGCTTTGCTGAGGTTCTGAAGATCCCTCTTGGCCCAGTTTTCCAGCCTGCCAAGGTTTCTCTGAATGGCAGCTCAACAATCTGGGGTAACAGCTACTCCACCCAGTTTTGCACCATAAGCAATCTTGCTGAGGGTGCACACTGCTGATGGCCAGCCTCCAGCTGCATTTTGTCCTGCTGATCTCAACCCTATGAGCTCTGCAGTTTGGCCCAATTTCATCCAGCTCACTATCCACTTAAATGGCCAATACTCCACCAGTTTGTCTGTGAGGATGTAATGGGAGACAGTCAAAAGCCTTACCTAACATAAACAGCATACCCCGCTCTCCCATAACCCACCAACTAGTCATCATATAATCAGTGCTCTTTTCCTGTCACAGATTGCCCTTCTGCACGTAGTGGAGATCTTCATAAACCTGTCTGATTGAAACTTATTAGGCCATCTAGTACAGGAGTTGTTTCTAACTGCCGTAAAATGAACTACTTCACCTGCCTTTGTAATGAGCTATGAGTGATATGAAACACAGGGCTTATTTAACAGCACGTACCAGATGGTCTATGCAAAGCTGAACATGACAGGAACATTTTTGTCCAGATTGGGGGTGGGACTGTTGTTTCATTTTGAAAAAAGAGGAAAGATATAGGGAGAAATGGGGATTGCACTGCCACTTGTGTTGATGAAATTGCACTGGAGGCTGCTCTTACAGGTCAGCAGCAAAAAGCAGCAAGTATGATAAATGAACACTTGGCAGGCAAAGTGTTTAACACTGTTAACTAATTCTGAATAGCACTGAAATATAGGCCTTGTATGCTTAGATATCCAAATAAGTTTCATTTCAAGAGAGATTTGAGTTTTCTAAACTGAAAATGGAGACTAGATAGCAGCACAAAATCCCTTTCATTATTTTCAAATCTGAAACATAATCTGAATAAATATGCCATAACTGAGTACTTTGTGTTATTTCATTAGTTAGACAGAACTGCTCAGAACACACTGCTTTCACCTCAGCAATCTCTTGAGCTAACACTGCTTGCCTAGACCAAATCAGTTTATGTGTTTTGATGATACTTCCATTCTAAAGCAGTGTTATTGCAAACAAGGAGATTTAATTAAGTACCCGGATTTAAAATAGGTGCCAAGAGAGTTCATGCAATAAAAAGCCCACGAGAAAAGGGATTTAAGTGAGAAAGTTATAACAGTTGAGACATAGCAGAGAAGCAGCACACAAAAAATATTTGCTGTAATTGCCAAAGCTCAGAAAATGAATAAAAAATTAACTCTTCAATTTGATGACCTAGAAAATAGAGGAGAAATAATGTACATATGAAAAGGATTAAAGAAGATGCCAAGAAGGAAGGCTTAGTGGGTTTAACTGGGTGGATTTAAAATTTGTTTAAAGTATGATGAGAACAGTTAAAAGAGCTCCAAACTGGCTTTACCAGGAAATAGATCTACACATTTTTCTGTGAAACTTCGCTTGTATTACCTCAATAGAAGAAAGGTTCAGAAGGAAACAACAGAGAATGAGCTAACTGTGACTGATCTGAAAATAGTGTGCATGCACATGAACACACATTCTCTTGGCTTTTGAGGAAGAATGTACAAAGAAAAGCAAGTACAATACTAACAGGGTTTTCATTACTTCTGAGGTACTGAGGTATTGAACTTGGCTGCAGAAGAAAGAGGGCTAGATGTCTAATAATTAGAGATAATGTAGAAGCTAGCAGAGATAATGGCATGTGTTATGTAAACTGGGTAGGGTTACACACAGAGATCTTTTTACTGCTATCATAATGCCTGTCAAAATCAAAAGAGGAACTGTAAGAGAACATTTTTCTAGAAGAAAGGGGCATAAACAGACGTATAACAGCATTCAGAAAGCCAAATTAAATTTAAAATGTCCACAGGGTTCTCGTCTAACAAACATGAGGAAGTAAAAGTTATGATGTTTGTAAGCAATTAGCAAAAGGAACTTCAAATCAGAAATATACGTATATTTACATATGAATATATACACAAGATTAATTTATTCTGAGAGTGCTTTCAGATATACCTTAAGCATGTTATAAAGGAACCACAGAAGAAGGTTGTTCAGATGGAGCTGTATTTGTTGTGGTTTTCTACTATTCACAAAAGGCAATAACCACCCTCCTATAGCAGTTTTTAGATACATTTCAAAATGCATTCAGAGATGGTGAACAAAGACTGTCCTTGTCAGTCATGAACAACTCACTTGCCACAACAGACCCATCTTGCTTGTTGCTACATGTCTGAAGGTTTCCTGACACAGGCCACGATTGCATCCCCATCCCTGTAGTGGAAGGCATGCGAGGGAGCAGTTCAACAAGTGTCTGGTGCACCTAGGGAATGGGGGCCAAATCCTGGAGGTGGCTGCATCTTTGGTAGGACCTTGCCCAGAAGGCACCTTGGGGGAGACACTGCAGGTGACCCCCTTGTGCCATGCCAACAAAGTTCTCCAGCCTGTGGGACTGATTTGGGCGGAACACTGCTACGGACATTGTGAAAATGGCCTCCCAGAGAATAGAAGGGGAGCAGGAGATGCGATAGCACTTGTGGCCTGGTAGGAAGCCATCAGGATGAGGGATCTGGCCCTCAATGCCTAACCAGCGGAACCCAGGGAAGAGGTTTTGTGCCAGCTGCTATGCTGGGCCCAGCTCATAGAATGGTTTGTGTTGGAAAAGACTTTAAAGACCATCTAGTTTCAATCCCCTGCCATGGGCAGGGACAGCTTCCACTAGAGCTGGCTGCTCAAAGACCCTTCCAGCCTGGCCTTGAACACTGCTAGGGGTGTGGCAGCCACAGCTTCTCTGGGCAACCTGTGCCGGTGCCTCAATGTCCCCCGGTTTTGTTTTACTGTGATAAACTTTCAACATCACTGTGTACACTCCATAAATCAGACCTCAGAAAGAGGGTATCATAACAGGTCACATCCAGCACTTCCGAGTAACTTGTCATCCTTAACCTGGGCTTTTGCCACCTGCTTCTACACCCCAAACGTGACCCAGGACAGGACAGGGGAAGTGCCCTAGAGCTGAAAGCCATCATTCTACAGGCCAAGGCTGCAGCAGGAACCTTCACTGCGACCACCCCCGGGCGTGCACATCCAAGGGCGACGACCACAGCGGCACCGCTAACACGTTCCCACGAGCCCACCCAACCCGCCCTGGCCTGCACCGAGCTGCGCATGCGCCTGCAGGTGCCTGCGCAGGCGCCCTCGCGTCTCCGGACTCCCCGACCCCGACCCTGCAGGTGTGGGTAAGGGGAGCGAGCGGCGCTTACCGGTACTGGCGCCGTGGTAAGACCGTGGTCTCTCTCGGCGGAGGTGAGTAAGGGACTCGCCCGGCCCCGGCGTGCCCCCGGATAGGGTCGCCCTTCTCCCTCGGCGGCCATGGTGTGTACTGTTGCCATGGGAACAGCGAGTGCTGGTGCCACCGGGCGCGGCGTGGCGAGGTGAGGCGGGTGAGGGGTAGCGGGGTCCCGCAGCTGGGGAGGACGTGTCGGCGGGACCGTTAGGCAGCAGGTTCCGCGGCCAGCGCCCGGATGACGGGGGCAGCCCTGTCCTGCATTGCCCCTCCCCGCCCGCCAGTAATGCTCGTCCTCGGGGGTGTCCCCTCGCCGCGGGGCGCGGAGGCCCCGGCTGGGGCGTGCGGCAAGTCGGCCGGAGGGGGAGAACCTGCGTTCCGTTTACCGGCAGCTTGCTGTCCACCGCGTCCGGAAGAGTTGTTTGCCGGGCTTGGTTTGGTTACTCCGCAAAGCCCCAGTCAGCTTGTGCTCCACGGTGCTGCTTACTTAGAACATGGTATCTAAGGGCTGAAAACATTGCTCTGTTTATTGGGGGCTGTAGGCTCAATTTCTCATTACTTTGTCCTCATTTCTTTTTGATAGTGATTTCTCTGCTGCAAAATTTCACCATGCTGAAAGCGTGACTGGTAGCTCACTGATGTTTAAAATTGTATCTAATAATACCCATTCTTGGTTCACTCTTACTAAGCCTGTGTTTGGATGCTAACTTTTCTAGAGATTTGCTTGGGAAGACAAAAGCTGGGTTCAGATGTTGGTGAGCAGAGTTGTTCAGGGTTTGAGTGCAGGGTTTCTCCTCACTGTATGCAGTGATTGCAAGTATACCCACTCTGTGCAGTAGCACATAAGTGACACTGGTTTTGCGATGGGAGATAGGATGTGAGAGTCAGTGTGATGCCACATCTGATGTCATCAGCCGTGCTTCTTTCATGTGCTGATGGGCCCCAGGTGAGTGTTCAATGGGTGCAGCATCTCATTAGGACTAATTCCATGTTCTCTGATCCTGTACCCCTTTCTACTGGTTTCAAGTCTTCCTGTACAGAGAAGACCAGTCCTCTGGAGTAAACAACTGGGGAAGAAAAGACAAGAACTTAAGTATGGCTTTTCTGACACTGTTGTAATATTCTGCCTTCCAGCTGAGTCAGAGAAGAGCTGTTCATGTGCACGAGTTAAAAGGTATCTGGGGAACAGTGACAGCAGTGGGTGACAAGATCTGTGTGTACCAATTATGCTGTTCCCATTGACACTGTGACATTCCCTTTATCTGTCGCCTGCTATGATTGTGGAGCAAAATGGGGACAATAATAGGTTTTCAAAAAGAAGCACTAATAATTAGAATTATTTCTGATTTGCAGTTGGGATACTTTATTTATTTAAGGGATAGAGTTTGGGAAAAAAATTAGAAATTCTTGCAAATAAATACAAAGGTAGAACTAGGCTTGTATAAACAATGAAAGCCAAGGGTAAAACCAGATTGTATGCTGGGCAGCCAGCTCAGTAGTTTCCCTTCCACTCTTGTGCTGCTTCTTCACCCTTTACTTCTACATTCTGCTTGTCGCACTCATTTGTTGCACCTTAATTTAAAATGGTCTTTGGCATTGAGATTGAATGATTCAGGTCCTTATGCTCATCAAAGTCAAGAAAGCTTCTGGTGACTGGAGGGTTTTTCCTGTATGCACAGATATAGGTGGTAGTTTTCTAGGAGCAGAACTGGTGTGATACAGCTGAAGGGGCTTCCTCAAAGCTTCTGGGGTGTGGGATGCTGGAGAGCAGATGAAGCTTCTTTCTTGAGGGCTGCTGCGACAAAGCAATTGCTTGATGCTTGAATGAGTCAGCCTTAGGCCTACAAGAAAGATGCAGAAGGACTTATGAGAGCAAGTAGGAATAGAACGAGGGATAATGGTTCAAAATTGAAAGAGGGTAGATTTGGATTAGTTGTTAGGGTGAAATTCTTTATTGTGAGGGTGGTGAGGCACTGGCACAGGTTGCTCAAAGAAGCTCTGGCTGCTCCATCTCTGGCAGTGTTCAAGGCCAGGCTGGGTGTTGCTTTGAGCAACCTGGTCTAGTGGAAGGTGTCCCTGCCCGTGGCAGGAGTTGCAAGTAGGTGAACTTTTAAGTTCCATTTGAACCCAAACCATTCTGTGGTTTCAAAACAGTACAAATTTTCTTTCTCTAGCTGTCTTTTGAGAAAGAGACAGTGGTTGCACAGTGATGGCACAGCAGCCAGACTCATTCAGATAAAAAAATTAATTATGGATCCTTCATGTTTGCAAGAAAGAGTAAGCTTTCTTGCCTTATCATATCCATCTACACACACATCTCATTTTGTGACACTGCTGACTTGTTATTCTGTGTTCTGTTACATTTTCTGGCTAATAATTATGGGATATCTATTAATGATATATTTGTATCGTATCACTACTTCAATTTCGAGTGTGTCTAATACCCCTTTACGCCGAAATGGCGAGGTGTTAATGCTCTCATCGGTTCGGAGCTGTCTCAAGCTCTGCTCGGTGCCGCCCCCCGGTGACAGCTCCCGCCCCATTCTGCTCTCGGTGCCGGGAGCCGGAGGCTGTCCTCCGCCAGCGCCGAGGAGTGAGCTTAGTCCAGCATCCGAACTAAGCCGTAGGTTCCCTTTGCGGCTTTAATTGTTAAAACTTTGTTTTTAATGGATTGGAAGGGTGACTAACAGTGCCCAAATAGTAAGACTTCACTAATTAAGCTCATAGCAAAGCTCTTGTGACAGTTAAAAAGAAATAGGTAAGAAATGAAAGCTTCCACAAAATGTTATAATGGAAGCTTGATCTTAACTGTGGCAAATAAATGTACTTCTAGGATAGAAAATTTGCAGTGGACAGCAGAATTAACAAAACCTTATGCTGATTGTATCAGTGATGTATCAGAAACACATCCTATGTCTCAGGTTGTTTCTTAGTTTAACTGTGAGGTACATATATGTAAATCCCATAAAAATATATGTTTCAGTGTCAGAGCACAGAGATTTTAAGAACAGTGTCCTTCAGAGATTAAATGTAAGATAGTCGATTACTTGAGAAGATTTATTTTAAATTTTAGCAAGGTGGATAGAAATGTATAGACCAGAAAAGAATATTTGTGAATTAAGTCAAATTTATGATTTGTAGAATCGTGTTAACTATGGTTTAGTGTTTATTCATAGCTGTTGTTTCTACATCTGCTTGACACTAACAGTGTCAGACATATGGCCTATGCAGAAGACCTTCCACTTAAAGGTCAAAATCTTGACTCCCAGTAGCTGGGAGAATAGGGAACAGAAGCCTGCCTTCCCTGTTTGGTGAGGCATGGCTGTGTGATTGCTCCAGACAGACTGCTGCAGTGGAATTCCTTACTTAGTTCTTCTGAATCATGTTGTAAGAGAGCGAAGAGTAGGGAGCATAGGGAGCCAAATTCAGTCACAGAGATGTATTAATGGTAGTCAGATTAAAAACACTGGCAGGCTCAGGCTCCTGATCTGTTCCTGTATTTTATAATTGTGCACCTTTTAGTGAAAGAGGTTGGTGCACTGCTTCTTAGCTTCCAATTTTATCTTGTGTAGTTCAGCTGAAGGTGTTCAGTTGTGTATTAATTAAAGAAACTGTGCCAGAATGTACAGGCTCTCAAAGAAAAAACAGGAGAGGCAATTGGACATGTGAAAATGCAGAACAGGAAGAAGTGAACCAAGAAACTAGAGAAATAGGATTTATTTTTTTTTTTTCTTCATAGTTTAGGAATAACCGAGATATTGGTGTCTGATCTACTGTCGGTTCATTGTCATAAATTATGTGAGAGAATAGAAATTACCAGATGGTCTGAGTCACAGACAGTGCAGAGACGTATTTTTCTTTTTAGGTAAGTTTGAAAAGCACAAGAGGAATTTTGAATGGTTTAAGGCTCATGATGAATTTTCTGTAATATGACAAGGATGGTATCTGCAGAGAACTGCACCAAGATAGTGATTGATTTTGGAGGGCTCCAGAGACAATGAAGCAAGTCTTTCACTGCCCACTGCATTTGCTAGAAGATGCAGCAGGACAGAACACTGATTGAAAGTTTGGGTTGACAATTTATTTTAGTGTTGAGTTCATTTGCATGTACTTGAGGGTAGGTTGGGGAGGCATTTCTCTCAGATTGAATTGCTTATTCTTCCTTGTCTCTGCTTATTGATTACGATAACTGTGCTTCTGTTACTGAGAATAATGCCTCTTTGACTTATTAGGAAACTGCCCTTGGTCAGGTCAATAACTTATATTTGATTTCCTAAGTTCAATGGAAAGGAAGTGTCTCTTCACAGCGTATTACTGAATTCCTGCTGTGGCTATGATGGTTTATAAGTAATCAGGTGTTAAGAAACAGATTTTCTGTAGTATTGGAAAGTACTACATTTGGCCCAGAAAGCACTGTGGTACTGAGTGTGGTGTACTTCAGCTTCCTCTAAAAAACTGAAGGTCCTCCATGTCAGATGCTTTCTGCTTTTCAGTGTTTTCCTAAGGAACTGAGAAATAGCGCAGGACTGTCTAGAATTTTGTAATAGTATCCTTTTTAACTACACTGTGGGAATTTGATGAGTTAACAGTTTATCATTTTGAGCTAGCATTATATTCTGTGCCTTCCATATATGCTGTAGTGTTCTTCTTGTGCACTACTTTGCAGAGGAATGCAAGCTTCAAAGAATAAAAATACAGAAGAGGCAGAACCATTCTACAAGCTTTCAGTGCCAAAGGAGAAGACTAGTTCTGAGATTATAAATGAAGCGAGAGATTTTCTACGAACACTGAGAACTCGGAGACCATTTACACCTACAGAAGAGCAAAGGAGACTTTTTGGATCTGGATCCTCACGAGCTCCTCAAAACAGACCCCCTTCAGTTTTTAGGTACTGTGGCTTTAAGATTTTTTTTTTCAGCAAGAGATTTGATTCTGTAATTATGTTTCCGGTGAATTTTTTCCCCTGTATTAATCTGTGTTCCTAATCCTTTGCCACCTTCTAATGATCCTTACTGTTGATGTTAATCTACATGTCCAGGAAGTTCCTGTGGATTAGAGATACCAGAGGCAGTCTTTACAGTAGTTTTGTATGTAAAGAGTAGTATAGGAAAACAGTAACTCACTTTTTTCTTAAGACAATGTATGCTTTTAATATATGCTTCAGTTTTTTCCCTGTGAAAAAAAATGAAACTGAGAAAGCTTGCTTGTTTCCACATAAACTGTATGCAAGATCTTTTTATCAGAGCTTTCTCAGGTATTTTTAATCATAAATTGTAGGTCTTGAAGTTTGAAATGCTCATTTTTAATCATAATTTATACTACTTCGGAATTATTTGTGTGGCGTTTTGTTAAGTACTATAATTCACGGAGCTCAATAAATAAGTCTCTTGTGACAAAAGAGAAAAATATATTGGGCTTTTAAAATCCATTTTACTGGTTATTTTTTTAGCTCCCCATTTATGCCAGTTCTATAGTCAATGTAGGGAGGAGATATGAGCTGTATTCATAATGTTAGGTGTCAGGCGTGCCAGAAATGATACTGAAATGTGTTGGAAAAGCCGTACAAGTAAGTCAGTGTCCATGCTGTTTTCATGGCAGCATAACTTCAGGCACTCAATGTACCTGATACTCCTTACTGCATCATGTTGTGTCCTCAGAGGAGGCAAGAGCCTGAGAGTGACTTGATGCTTGTTGGTGACCAGGTAATGAGATCCCTCCGGCTGACATCCATGCTTCTTCTGCCTATGCTTCTCGTGTGTACAGGAAGGAGCATGCTTATGCCTACACAAACCTGGGGTTTCTGCCCTGTGGTGTTCTGCAGCTTGTGTCAGATAGCTTGGGCATTAACCACGGTTAGTTTGTGGGTGGATTTAGGCTTGTATTAGAGAATTGTTATAGTGTGTATGAAGTAAGCCATGTGATGGCAGGTGTGCAGGTGATCTTTTAATTCTTCTCCCTTGGTGCTGCTGGATTCCCACATATCAAAGTTAAATAGAATTCATGGAAAAAGAATGATAAACTGCTCTGTCAGTTTTCCTTTCTTCTTCCTTTTCACCATATTCATTGGCAAATACAAGAAGCAAGTAATAAAATACAAACAAAAAAATAAAACCCAACCAACCAAAAAACCAACCAAAACCAAAATCCCCAAAACACAAAACGTTGGATCTGCTTTATTCATATTATGTTTCATTTCTTTATACTAGTCTTCATGCATCCAGTTTTGATTTGGCTGAATCAAGACCAGTGTCTGGTGCTCGTCTTAGCCCACTGAAACATGTAAGTAGTACTTGTTCCAGAGTTTGAGGATTCCAGGTGAGAGAAAACAAGAGACAAATAGAGAACTTGCAACTAGTTTATTAATATAGGAAAATATAGAGATAGTAAAGGCTACGGTCAAGGATACTTCCGATGTTTGGTTATCTTACCAACCCCAAGGACCCTGTTAAGACGATCAGGAAAGCAGCTCTGAGAATCATCACTGCAGTGCGAGGTGGCAGTCTCAACCTTAGCCGCTGTCCCCGCGGAGGCAACATTGACCTGGGTGGTATGAAGTTCTGCCTCCCCCACATCGCATGAGGCTTGGGGTTTTATACTGACAAAAATGCACGCTCATTCTGACTCAGGGGGCCAGCCTAAGATGGAAGAAGTGACCAGCAATATCTAGAAAGGTCTCCAAGGGTCGAGACTTTTCCAGGGATTTCTAAAGTGGAATATTCTGGGTAGGAACCAAAGCTGGCCTTTCCAGGGAGCAGCCAAAGCAGGACTCTCCGGGGAGGTGCCAAAGTGGACAAACAGTACTCTTCTACGTTTGTGTGTTTCACCATGGACCATTATCTGTTGTCCCTGACACAGTACTCTAGAAATAACTTGGGCAATACTGACATAAAAATACATTAATTTGTAGCATAAAGTAAAGATACAGTTTAAATAGGTTAGGGAGAAGTGGAAGGCCGTTGTAATGTTAGTCTAAGGCTTCAAAAGTCAGTTTTGACTTTTTTCCCCCCCAAATAAATCTGAAAATAATTAAAAACTATTTAAATATTTCTGTATTGCATTGTATTTCTAAGTGACATTAACAAGAATCAGAAGATGGATACCTGAGTCAGCTTTCTTTGTGTAAGATTGCTAAAACAGAAAAAGGTCATGAGCATCAACATGAGCCAGCAACGTACCCTTGCCACTAAAAAGATGGCTAATGGTATTCTGGGCTGCATTAGGAGGAGTGTTGCCAGTGAGTTGCCACACCTGGAGTGCTGGGTTCAGTTCTGGGCTCCCCATTAAAAGAGAGACATAGAGCTACTGGAGAAAATCCAGTGAAGGGCCACAAAGACAATGCAAAAAGATGATGAAGGGCCTGGACTGAGGCTGGGAAAGCTGGGAACATACAGCCTGGAAAAGAGAAGGCTCAGGGAGATCTTATCCGTGTATATCCAAAGGGAGAGTGCGAAAAAACCACCGAAAAACAGAGGGGGGGGGAGGGGAAGTGGGACAGAGACAGTGTTTTTTTCAATGACAGAACCAGGGGCACGAACTGAAACACAGGAGGTACCCTTCAAACTTCAGGAAACTCTTTTTCCATCATGTAGGTGACAAAGCACTGGCACAGGTTGCTCAGAGATCTTCAAATCTTCCTGGATGTAGTCCTGAGCAACTGGCTGTGGGTGTCCTACCTGAGCAGGGGGTTTGGGCAAGATAACCTTCAGAAATCCCCTTCAGCCTCAACTATGCTGTGGTTCTGTGATCAGTGACTTGAAAGTAACTATATTGATTGTGCTTTCTATTTGACTTACACATCTATAAAAGGTAATGATTGTAGTGTATTTAAAAACAAATAGAAGTACTTGTAAAAATTTTTCCCCCTCTGTGAAAAATTTGTTGGTTTTTTTTTCAATTTATAAGCATATCTTCTGTTTCAATTTTTTTTTCTATTTAATCTTTAAATATAAGATTGAGTCACGATCATTTGTTTAGTACCTGAGAGAACAGAGTGTGCTAAAACAGGTAAATATGCTTGCTGCATATATTGTTTCTTAAAGATAATATTCTTTAGGAAATTAGGGACAGGAAATCTAAGAAATGTTATATTTCAATTGTTTTGATAAGATAACGTGTTTATATGAATCTAATTTAAAAATCATGACCATACTTAGGTTAAATGTATTTGCAGTTGTATTTAATAACTGATGTTAAGTTTCCATTTATCTTGTGCGTGATAGTGGAAGACTATCTGTTAAGACCAATGCAAAACCTGCCTTTTCTACTTTACCAATGGAGAGAAGTTAGTACATTGTAAATGAAAAGCTTGTGTTAGTCACAGTGGATGTGTGGAGTGCATCTCACCTGTTTGCTAATGGGGAGAGCTCTGGAGGATCGGACTGGAGACTTTTGAATGGATCCTTTATTGTAAGGAAATTGATAGAGAGCCTTGATCTTAGAGGGCAATGTCTTCATTTAGGGCAAAAGAAGTGTTCTGTACCAGAGGTTCAGGGCCTTGGCACATCCTCAAATGCAAGGTAGTGACATAAATAAAGCTGGAACTTGCATGTGTCTGGATCTGCATGATTTGTTTTAGTGTGATAGGAAGTGGTACATGTGATATGAACACATTTGAAGTGTTTTGGAAATACTAGTTTAATGCTCAAAACCGAATCATGAAGAACAAATATGCCTCTAGAATTGTTAGTACAAGTCTTTGGCACAACATTTTTTAGTGTGTTTGTTTTGTTTTGGTTTTTTTTACAAATAATCATACTGCAGATGATGCTAAATGAGCATTTATGAGGGAAATAAGTGATCCTGAGTTTCAGTTGCTCTACTCAGGCTAGTTTTTGTTTGTTTTCTGCCCCTCCCTAAATATTTGCTTTTAAATGGCTTTCTGTGGTCATAAAAGGTAGTGGAATCCATATGAAAATTTATTAATGAGCAAATCTGTGGGACTTCTATCTGTCCTATTCTGAACTTAATTTTTTGTGTAAATAATTTGCATTTTTTGCTTATATGAAAGTGAAATTATCTGTGCTTTTATTAAAATACTGTCTTTATCTTTGTCACAGAAACCGGTATTAGTCACTTCTGCAAAAGGTGAAGATTCTTCCATTTTCTTTCCAAAAACTCTTGCTGATGCTGCAGAGATCAGAAAAGTCAGCAATGCTCGGGCACGCTTATTTAGAAGAGCTTCTTGGGGAAATTTCCTTTCTGCTAAAACGGTGCCTCCTGATCAGAGTAAGAATATTTTAATATATATTATTTCCTAGAAAAATAACTGTGTGATGGGTTTTAATATTGTTACTTATATGACTTATTCTATTAAATGACTTGCATGTCCTTTCAGAGTAAATTTAAAAATTACTTAAATGGCTTTAATGCAGTTTTGAAAATACGATTTAAAATATTATACTGGCTTTCACTTCTGAAAGTGAGTTGAAAGCTGCATATGCCTTTTTTTTTTCCTATAGGTTTCTAAGTAATGGAATTTTTACTGGAAGTTTTCGTCAGTGGGTAAAATTAACATTAACTGCTGAAATGTTTAAAGAGATAATGAGATGGCATCCTCTAAGGAGATTCCCTGATGGATTATTGAGTATAAAGGAGGAGTAAAAAGAAATTCTGTGTCTTGACAGACTTCCAACTACATTGCCTTTGTTGTTAAGAGTTTCGTTAGTAGAGAATTAATAAAGGTCACAAACCATGGACTTTTAAGAGTAATTTTTTGCAGATGGAAATGTCTTGACATCTCGGTTTCCTGCACATCGGCTCATCGTAAAATGTGCTGGAAATCTGTCTTTAATGAAGACTTATTTGTAATAATGACAATTCTTACATGGCTTGGGATTGTTACTTTACATGATAAACTGAGTATCTCACTTTTTACCTTACTGCAAAATAACTCTTACACAAAGAGTACTAAATTTTAGTTCATTATTATGTACATATTCTATAGATGTATATTTAGTAGTTTATGCAGTTTATTGTAGATGTAGTTTAATCCATTAGCCTGAATAAGTTGATGTTACTAATCGAAGAAGTTGAGAACCTGATGTAGCTATAGCCTGAGTTTCCCCTCTTCTCTTTGGAGATCATGCAAATGTTTATGTAAGGATTTCTGGGCATGTTCTTGTCACGTGTAGATACCAAGGTACAATATTAACAGCTACTTTTTGAGTGAGTTCCTTCATAATATTCAGATCCTGAAATACAATCACTTTTTTCACATGGTACAATCCACCTATCTCTAAAAGGGAAATAAAAAAAATTGATTAAAGATAAAAATGTTAAAACACAAAATGGAATGCCCGTGGCAGGGGGGTTGGAACTAGATGATCTTAAGGTCCTTTCCATCCCTAACTCTTCTAGGACTCTATGGAAAGACTCAACAACTTTATACTTCACTCTAATTATTCTGAAGCTTTCTCACTTTCTAAACTAATACAAGCACATTTAATGTAACATGACAAACAGTAGTTCATTTTAGCTCTGTCTTGTGTATTTATTGTGTATGAATACTTCTACAAAACATATTCTCTTTGGCTATTTCAGAGGAAGAGAAGCTAGATTCTGAACAACCAGCTATGATGAATAATCTTTGCAGGACTAATAATGACTGCTTAGCAGAGCAAAGGTCAAACACACGATGGAATGGTGAAAGCAGACAATTAATTTGTAATGAGCGTATCAGTGGATTGGAGAGTAGAGACTTTGTAAAAGGGACAGCTGGAAAACTTTTGTTTCAGATGAGAGGAGAAAGGTCAGTATTGATTGAGTATAGTAATGTGCGCCTTCCATACAACCCTCTTCCTATGTATTTAAGGTTTTAAGTATCAGAATGTTTAAAACTGATGGAATTTGAAGGTAGCACTATTCATGCATTACAATAAAACTAGGTTTAGGTTATTAACAAAAAAAAGGTATCTTTACACTTCTGTTCTTAAGAAGTTTCTACACTCAAAAGACTTGATTTGTCCAAAAATTGTTGGTATTAAGTTGCATAATGTGAAATAACTTTGTTTGATCATTAACATTTCGAAACTAAGTTGTCTCATAATTGCATATAGAATGTTCAAGTTTAAATTCAGTGTGCTTGCTCTTACAGTTCAAGCCTGTTGTTTTAAGGTATATACATTCTTCCTTTAGCTCCACAGATGAGTAGAGCTGTGTTTCAGTTCTGGTGTTGGGGAAATATGTGATCATACACAAAAATCAGGCTTAAACGCATTGCCAATACAGACAGAATTTTTTTTTGGCTTTTAATTTTTTTAGTTTCTTCGCTTTTTTTTTAAATGACCAAACAGGCATAAGAGATTGACGAAATGTATGTACATGCCTGAATCTGAACCTAGATCATTACATCCTTTCTGTAATTCATAATTGAGTCTTCCCCCCCCCCCCCCATTTTTTTTTTCCTCTTTTCATTCAGATCTGAATTCTCACACAGGAAGAAATAGCCTGTGGCACTATGTTCAGCAGGTGTATCAGTTGCTGCACTATTGGTTGGATGAACAACTGTTTTGTGCTAATAACGTTGACAGAACTAACAGTCTCTACAACAAAGAATAAATAATAGTTTATTTTCAAAACATATCCTGTAAACACTTGGTCAATATTAAGTGTAAATATTTGCCCACAGATATTTTCTTTCTAGCATGTATTTATGCTTAGGAAAAAATTATTTACCTGGATATTTTAAACACCTTTGATATTAATGAGTAGATTCTTAGCTTTATAAAATGAAATGCCTTTCATTTGCTAGCTTGGTGATAGTATCATATAGTTTAGAGGATGTTGTCCATTGAGGCTCTTACAGCAAATGATACATAGCAGAGCTATTGTAGCACTCTTCCTGTATATTAAACTGAAAGAGGATTTAAGAAAAGACTGGAGACTTGTAGGAGCAAATAAAAAGTTTCATGAGTATGGAGGGAGGGAAAATGAGACAATAAACCCAGCAATGAAAAACATGGGTGAAGGACATGTTTCTCTACTGACATATTCTTAGGAACAGGCAGAGAAAAAAAGAGAAAGGCCTATTAGCAAAAAGACTGCTTGTGTTCTCTTCCTCTGTGTAAGAGGAGTTTTAGAAAATATGAGGAGTTGAAAGGGGAAAATGATATATTTTCAATTTTATATTCTTCAAGTACCATTATGCATATTTGAAGAATATTTTGTCAAGCTTTGTTTTGCATAACCTGTGTTGGCTTAATTTCTTTTTGACCTGTTTACTCACTATTCTGACTCTTAAGATGATAGCTAAAATAATAATGATTCTAACTATAAAAGATGGATTGTTTATGCATGTAGCATATTATGTCCATGTTTGATCTAGGGAGAATACTTCTTTAAGTAGTTGGATCTCACTCACATTAGTTCTCAAATTACTGGCCTTAAGATAATAAAATATTTTCCAATCCTGTTCTGACTAGTTTTCTCAAAATAGAAGAGCAACGTATTATTCCTCCCTCTTCCTGTGCTGTATGCAAAATCTGTGTTTTTTGAATGGTGCTTTACCTTCTCCTGCAAGTTGTGCATGCTTTCTGTGGACTTGAGACAGAGATTATTTTTGCTGATGTTGCCTGTGCTGCTTTATACCCTCGTGCCAAATATCACTAGCAACATTTAGGTGCTCATATGGCTTAGACTACCAGACATACCTGCAGTGCTGCAGTATGCACAAAAATAATACAAAGTGCTTTCCCTTTAGTAAAGACAAAAATCCTTCATCTGTATCAGCCCAAGTATTTCATGCCATCGTATGATGGAATGGCTCTAGGTAATCTCAACTGCCCTCATACATTCTAGCTGATTGCTAAGACTTAATGCCAATAGATATGTTGGTTTGGTATTCACATATGATACTCACAAGTCAGGCAGATCCTGATCTATGTCCTTTTCTGAGTTCAGAGATGCCATTTTTTGTCTGACAGGGTAGTTGAAAGATACCACAAACGTATCCTTCAGTACAGTTCACTGAGTTTGCAGTTGTACATAAAAGGTTCCAGTACCATAGAGATGTTACTGCAGTAACAGAGTTTTGTTATTCTTTCTCAATATAACATATTTACAGGTATTGGCTGATTGCTCTGATTAGGTTGCTTCTATGTCATAAATACGTGAGGCATCTTGTATGAAATGTAAAGATATTTCTATTTAAAGTACATTGTATTCAGGAGTAATAGAATGAAGGCTTAAAGGAATGTGAAAACTTGTATCACCTGGAGTCCTGTCATTCTTCATATGAAGCAGTTGTCAAGCCTCAGTTCTGTATCCTAGTGATTTAAAATCCTTGCAGGAATTAAGAAAGAGAATTCTAGAAATAGTACACTTCATGCAAGAGGAGGTGCATGAGGCTCCTTACTTCCGTTTCCCCACAGTTCCTATATATGTACCAAAATAACTTTTCCAATAAAGCTGTTTTTGTTTTTGTTTTTTTTTCTAATGGAACTGTAGAGCATGCCAAAATAGCATAGTAATTCTTGCCTTTAATGCTATTACTGTTATTTGAAAAAGAACAGAAGGGAAGTATTCCACAAAGTGACTTGCTCACTTTCCATCTTGGGTTCTTTTGTTGTCCCAAGGACTGATGAACAGATGAACAGTGCTGATGGAATCACTACTGCTTTATAAAGATACTGGGGGGGGAGGGAGAGAGAAGGAGAAGAGAAAAAGACCTTTTGAGGAGAAGAGTTGTGCATCATTTTGTCTGCAATTCTGTTTTTCAAATAGCCATCTAGTTAGAATAGGTAGATTAATTGAAGTAGATTGGATTTATTGACATTTTGCCTCAGGAAAGCAAGGAGCAATTTCTGACAACTATAAGGAAACGAAGTTTTGTTTATAACTTCATCCAGCCATTGTGCCTTGCCATCTATTGTGATTGCTATAGAAATGAAAGTTCTAAAATGTTTTCTGCATTCATATATTTCAACAGACATGTCAACAGTGATGGCAGATTTGCTGATGAAGAGCAACAGTTTCCCTGGTGAGAAAAAAGGAATTTTATTCTGGGGTTTTTTTGGTTTGGTTTTTTTTTTTTTTTTGTCTTCCAGTTTTTCAGTGTTCTGAAAGCTTAGATGTCGTTGCAGGACTCCTTAGAAACATAGGTGCCTTTGGTGAGGAAAAGCTTGGTGGCAAACAGTTGATTCCCAAGTGGCCTGCTCTACACTTTCTCTAAAGTTGTTTCTATAAATATCTGCCAAAGGATTAGAAGGTGCTGTAAAGAAGATATACTATGCCCTGTTTTCTTTCACCATTGCTGTCATTGTTAAATGCCTGTTTGACTGATTCCTCGAGAGGTATTCATTAACTGCTTCCATAGGACTAGTTTCTCTTTTTTTTGTGCCTTTTGTAGTTTTGGAATGGTTCCATAGAAAATGATAAAAGCAGGGGACAAGTGATTACTGGAAATCGCTTCTGTCTGATTGCTTAAGTGAGCTTCACATCTGTGCCCGAAATATTCATTCATCCTCTCCTCAAAGAAAAGAATTCCTATGGAGGAGGTAGATTTCTTTCCTGAAGGGAACACCCATTCTGTTTTGCTCTGAAATGAATGACATGATGTGGACATTAGTTTGTTGTGTGGTTTAGTCGATATTGCTGCAGATTCTCCAGACTTCTTTCAGGATTTGTCTTATTATGTATATTCACAATTTTTGGAGTTCTCATAAAGACATGGAAATGGGACATTAATCTACTCCTAACCTTTCTCTGTTTCTGCCCCAGTTCCACTAGCTACTGAGGCCACTAATTTAAGAAAGAAACAATTGAGTGGTGGCAAAACTGTCACAGGTAGAGCCTTCTGCATTGTTTTCCAAGGACGTATGACACCTGTCCTAAGAAGGTGCTTATGTAGGGTTGGGGAACACTGAGAGAAAATTGGGAATGAAGAATTCTTTTTTCATAACTTTCTTTAGACTTCTGAAGAAAAGAGTGATAGGTAGCTGTTATCTCTGGTCTCTTCACTTGTGAAATAGTGGAGTTTAGGCTCACTTCTACTGCCTATGACAAAGGGAGTCTCTCCACTGTAGTCATTAATTTCAGGATAAGGTCATTGGTCTCCAAGCGTGGGAGATCTAGGTCTTGAGAGCCCTTATTGCCAATTGAATGGCAATTGTAGAATGGGAAAGTGTGCCTTGCAAGGGGTAAAGAAGGAATGCCAATTCAGTCTAGGTATAGTAATGATGGATTTAGATTGAATTTTTGTTTAGAATGTGAATGCGTATTCAAGTTAGGAAGATGAAGATGCTGTGGTTTTCAGACTCAAATATATTTAGCCTAGTATTTTAGGTATTTTTTTAGTATTTTTTATCGTTAGAATTAGGCTGTCAGTTGTCTGCTTCCTTAAAGATATTCTGCCACAAGTAGATATTGTTACTATTTTCTGTATTAGGTAGAAGAAGAAAAAGGATAAGGATACAGGTTTTTCATCAACCTCTATTATTCTTTTAAGCCATACTATTTAACATGTGCATGAAGTTCTTCATCAACAGCCTGTATAAATAGAATTCTATATTCTTTTTATCACTGGAGCTGTCATAGGTAATGGGCTATGCCCGTGATTGTGTTTATAGAGAAATTGTTATTTGCTCATCTTTAGGATGACTCAGAGTGTAGTTGGACTATTTGTCAACTTATTTTTGCAAATTATGCTTCCTTTCTACTATTTATCCTTTCTTGTATCAGTGATATCAGTCGCAGTTATAGTTTTCACTCCTTTTGTGTTTGTCTTTTCTGGTGGTGTTACTTATGATATAATCCTCTATAATTCCTGAAGTAATTTCAGGACATCTATATTATCAGTTTTTAAATTATTTGCATGCTTTTGAAAAAGTGAGAAACAGGACTGACTAGAGGTTTGTGTAATTGGTTTAATACTTTAATTCATATTTCTTTAGCTGCCTGCAAGTAATTTAGTATGTATCTGTTGTTTTCAGAAAGGAAAATAGATAACAACCTGCTCCTCCCCCCCCCTCCCCCCCCAAATAATAATCAAGCTGTCTGAGAAAATCAATTGCAGCCTCTCTTAACTTGTTCCAGCTCTACATCTGACTCTTCTCCTTTGCCTTGGGTTCTTCCACTGTCCTATCCCCTGCTGCTGACTCAGGATCTGCTGCATCTTGCCCTTATTCCCAGGATCACCATTAGTTTCTTTTAACTTTCCCTGGAGATGTCATTCTTCTTTTTGTGATAAAGCTGCTGAGTCTGGCTATGCCCTGATAAACTTGATTATGCCTTATGCATCTTTGTACTGTGCTCCTGCCAAGAGATGTGATGGGCAGGTCATGAGACCACAGTTGTGAATAATTTAGAAAAATTACAACTGACAGTATATAAGCAACTCGTTGTCTCATACACCAGAGGGTTGTGCAGCCATCCAGAAGGACCTCAATAGGCTGGAGAAATGGATTGACAGGAACCTGATGCAGTTTAACAAGGGCAAGTGCAAAGTCCTGCACCTGTGGAGGAACACCCCCAGGCACCAGTATATACGGGGGGACTTCCATCTGGGAGGTAGCTTTGGAGAAAAAGACCTCAGGGTCCTAGTGGACACTAAGTTCATAGAACAGCTCAGGCTGGAAGAGACCTCAGAAGATCCCATCCTGTGGAAAAGGGAGCCTAGATTAGATTATCTAGCACCTTGTGCATTTACATCTTGAAAGTTTCCACCATACGTAGAGTACTGGGTCCAGTTCTGGATTCCTCAGTGCAATAGAGATACAGAGCAGCTGGAGAGTACAGCTACAGTGGAGTCCTTCATATGAGGAAAGGCTGGGAGAGCTGGGGCTGTTTAATTTGAAGAAGAAAAGGCTCGGAAGGCATCATCAATGAATATAAATACCTGAAGGGAGGGTGCATTATGACACCCTCATTCATTGTGTAGCAAGAGCTTTTCCTTTTCTCCTGTGGCAGGCACTCAAAAGAATTAAAAATAGCTGTTTACCTGTTAATATTCCTTTTAGAGACTTACTGGTTGAGACTTCCACTTTCATAAGTACTTTCCTTGTAGCTTTTCCCTTTGTAATCCATACAGAATTTGGGACTCTTTGATTGAAAGGAAAATACACAACTGCTTAAATAGCTAAATGATTCTTATCAATAGAAGGTATGCCATACTGGATACTGCTGCCATTAAAAATAAACTCAGATTACAGTGTAGATGTAGTCACGCTATAAATATACATGTCAGTAACATCTCAAAGAACAGTTTTTCTGAATGACATATCTGTTTTGTGATTATACATAGTCAGGGGACTGAGCTCTGATCTAGTCTGAAAGAACAACTTTGTGCTTAGTAGTCCCTTGGTACATCCAGCTTGCCTGAGACAGGCCCCCAGCATCTTCTTAGCATTGGTATAAATCTCTTACGGATTTTTTGGATGTAGATACATCATGTCTGCCTTTCCAATGCACACAACGTATGTTTGTAAAATCAGATATTTGGTGCTTGTATTTATGTATAAACAGTCTGCATCTTTTATATGCTGCAGTGTCTAGGCTGTTTTTAGAGCCTTGTGAGAAGTTAGAAATGGCTCTCCTAGACACTTGAAGACCTGAAAACATTGATATATCAATGATCCAAAATAAAGCTTGTAAAAATTTGAGTCACGTTTTGGGGTTTTAAATCAACTAGAAGAAAGGAATCATGTGGGGGCTAAAGGGGGTGGAATGAAGAAAAATACATTGGGGAGAAATGAAGTGACTATAGGGGGGAAAGTAGAAGAAAGTAGAGTGGGGGTATGAATCAAGGTGAAAAATGTGAAGGCAGAAACTGAAAGAAAACTGAAGGCAGGGCAGCCCAACAGCATGCTCTATTTGCTGGGGGCATCTCAGAAGCTGCTAGAAGGCACTGAGTAAGGTGGACTTTCAGCATGACCTGTTACAGCCTTTGTATGTTTTTGTTATATAAATGGCTAGTAAAAGTGTCATTGGTTTTGTTTGCCTTATCGAAATAAAGATGAAAAATAAAAGGGCTCTAAGGACAAACAATGAAACTATTAGGGGCTTAGATTTGCTTATGATTAAGTAACTTAGGAGATTAGAATTGTGGTTCTATAGATACAGAAAATGCTCTGCAGTTATGAATGTGCTGAAATTGTATTCGCATAATTACAGTTTTCTGACTTAGAAAAAGAGCGTCAAACAAATAAAAGGAAATTGAGAGACAATAAACTCAAATGCCTTAGAAATTTATTTAAAAATAGACTGAATCCCACCCCAAACCAAATACTACTTTACTTTAGAAAATGCTACTAGAAGTTAGCAATGAGGCCAACATTTTATCGAGAGCAGATGGATGATAAGAGATCTTTCACGTGGTGACAACACAGACTAAGGCTTCTTATCAGGGAGGAACTTCTGCAGAGGTTTTTCTGCGAGTGTCTGTACTTTCCAGTCTTATGTCTTCTTCTGATACAGTAAAAAGAGGTAGCTGAAGACAGGCTTTTGGACTAATTAGACCATGCTCTGTTTTGTATTTGAAAAAAAGTTTCTAAATGTAAATTTTAGTATTACTGTAGTTTAAGTAGGTGACTCCTTCAGGAGGCAGCTGTTGTGTGGTTTTCCAACTGTCTTCCAAGTTAACCTTTTCTGGTTTAAGTGTTGCTGTTTGAGATTTACTGCTATTTGGAAAATTTTGTGTGAAAGTGACTGAGAGAAAATGGTGGTTTTGTTAGTCAGCCTCCATGAAGTCCTTGGACATTAAGCCTAGTATTTGTTTTATTTCTGTCAGTGGAAAGCAGTTTGGTGCTTCTGATGTCTTCAACCACCTCCTTCTCACCCCCCAAAGAAGTTGCTTTAGTCATGTAGAAATTGCCAACAAAAGATGCCTATAAATGCTAACACAGACGCAGAGCACCTTATTATCTTTTTTATCACAAAATTTGTAATTAATTTTCAGTTTCTATTTAAAAGTGGGGAAGAAATCTATTTCCAGACATCAGCTATTTTCTGCTGTTTGTGGCTTCCTATGGTATTTACTCAGGGCATGCTGTGTGCCGTCTGCATGTGAGTAGTACTCTGCCCTTCTAAGAGTCTGCTCCAGTTTACATAGGATAGTCCTAGTTCCTATCTCTGCTTTGATGGAGAGTCCACACGTTTGGTTTATGTGGGTGCAAGAGGGTCATAATCTCTGGAGAAGCAAATTCGTGTGAGATCTTGGTACTTGCAGAAGTAGATTTTATGAGGCTTATGGACTTTTCCATACCTACTGCCCTGATCTGCTCATTCCCCATTACTCCTACTCTTCTCTTTGAAAACTAACCCCATATTCTACATCCTTTATTGCACTTTCTCCATTAACTGCGCTCCCCTGTTCTTCTCCCACTTCCATATTTTTTAATTTTGCTTCTCGAAGTTGTAAGAATATGTGGGTATTGCAAGAACTACCATGAGTTCTCTTTTCTTCCTAGTTAAGCTTTGCCACCTCACTGATCAAAAGTGCTTGCTAGAGACAGTTCTGCAGAGAAGCATTAACTTGTTAGCATTAGGCTTTGTGTCCCTCTTAGCTGGTAACTAAATAACCCATGGGGCACCAGGGCTACATCTGTACTAATAATTAATAAAAATTAAACAAAGGAGTTAGTTTCTGGCTTGGTGGCCACCTGCTGTGTCATGGGTTATGTTACAACAAATGCGTTTTTAACCCCCTCCCTACCACACAGAGGTAGGAATGTCCCTGCCTCTCTCTGCTTGTCTGTGCCCTGTGCCCAAGCATTTGTCAAGGAAAGTACTACCTTTCTTGGCCCAAAACCGTAGCAAGGACCATGTGAAGGGTCTAACTGTATGTAAGGCTTTGTGGTCCAAAATTCAGGCCCACTGCCAGACTCTGCTTTACAAGTTAAGAGGTAGGGAGGCTCTGCATTGTGAGGGAAGAGCGCAAACACTGTTCTTCTTTTGGGATCTTACACTGATGTTTGTGAATCAGACCTTGCTGTTGTGTGCAGCTTCTTGGAGAGAAATAGCCCAACTCTTTGCCTCTGCAATGCAATTGTATTTTTCTCTGGAATACCACTGAAGGTGAGAGTTTGCAGATTTGCTATTAACATGAGGCTCATGGCAGAAACAAGTAAAGGTCTAAACACACAGAGTTTCTGAAGGAGTGCCGCTTTCACTTAATTATATGTTCTTTCACCAGGGAAAAATACTGAACAAATGTATTTGGTCTTGCTGAAATGGAGTTAATTTTCCACATAGCAGCCTTCATAGTGCTGTACTTTGTATTGGTAGCTAGAAGGGTGTTGGTGTCACACCAGTGTTATGGGCACAGCATTAAGATTGTCTCTCCAGCATTCCTCTCTCACCAGTAGGTTGGGAGGAGGGCAAGATCTTGGCAGGGGATGTAGGCAGGACAGCTGACCCAAACTGACTAAAGGGATTTTCCATACCATACTATGTCTTAAGCAATAAGAGAGAGACAGGAGGAGTAGGGATATTTGTTATTATATCACTTGTCTTCCAGAGCAACCTGAAGTCCTAATTCCCAGGAAGTGGCTGGATATTGCCTTCTGATGGGAAGTAGAGAACAAATATTTTGTTTCCCTTCACTTCCATGTGCAGCCTTTTCTTTATTAAACTGCCTTTATCTTTACCCATGAGGTTTCCCCCCCCTTATTTTCTCCCCATTGTCCTGCTGAGGAGGGCAGTAATAGAGTTGCTTGGTGGGCACCTGTAGTCCAACTAGTGTCAACCCAGCACAGCACTCTACTGCAGCATTGGCTCACCCTGTTTTGGGAAGTTCTCATGGTCTGTGTCCATTAAGGAAAGCAGTGTTCCACACAGGGGCTACTATGATCTCCCTTATATGAGAAGGATAGAGATGATCCAGTTGCCAAGTTCTTCCTCTGTAAATCATCAGAGCCTCTGTCTGTTGATTTCGTGATGAGTCCCTTATCAGATGATCAGATTTCTGCCAATTGACTTTGTTTCCAAGGCAACCACTCTCTTGACAAGCCAGTTCCCTTCAATAGTAGGTAACTTATTTTTTAGAGTAGGTTGATTACATTTTAACTACATAGTTCTTAACAAGATATTGGTGCTTAAGTTTCAGCCTTGCACACAAGTGAAAAGATAACAAAGAAGCAAAAGTCTCTTTAGCTAAAATGGAGTTGACACCATGGTAAAGATACGTAGAGGGATTTTATTACCTTCACAGAACTCATAAATTGTACATAATTCCTAAAGATAAGCCTGCTCACCAATCATTCTCATTTTTGGTTGTGTTCAGTATATTCTGATTTTTGAAAATAATGAGAGTTCCAGTTAAGCTGTTTAACTTACGAGGATGCTTCCCAAAAGTTCAGATAGTTCTGTAAATACCAGCAATCTGCTTTCCTACTTGCATAGGCCTCTAAACTGGGTGATGCTGGTGTTTAAGAGAGAAAACGTTCCAACCAACATATATCTTTTTTACACAGTTCAGACTTTGTCATGGTCTTGCCCTTCATCTCATGCGTGTGGTGTTTCTCTCTGATAAGTGTTCAGGTTACCGCATCCTTTGCTTCTGTCTTTTCTATTCATCTACTTTTGTTTCCTGCAAAACTTGTAGGATTGGCTTTGTTGAGATTTCTTAGATTCGTATTTATATTTTGTGGGAAGAGGCACAGGCAGGATATAGTTACAAAGCTCTTTTTTTCTGAGGAAAGCAAACTCAAGCATCTGTATTCATATAGGTAGATAGCACCATCATGCCTACGTAAAATTTTGAATAATCTGATTTTGTAATATATCTGGGTTAGGATGAGGTGACTGAATTTGTTTTTCTCTTTCTTATGTAGTGTCCTTTCAGGTTGTAGTCTTGATTTCAGGGATGGATGAACCTCGTACAATAATTTCTTAAACATCTGAAGTTTGTAGGACAGGTTATTTGCATAAATGGAAGCAAATTTTGATTTATATTAATAGGCTGAACTGTATTTAATGTGTGCTATAGAAATCCTATTTCTTACAAATGTCAGTCTATTATTTCTTTACTATTATTTTTTAAGCATTGCTTCCTCAGCAGGGTAGAAATCGCCATGCATGAGCTGAAATAATCTCCAGGTAGTTTGTGTAAGCATTTGGATTTTGGGATGCTTAAATTCTCGTGTTGTAAAAAGAAAACATTATTCACTTTAGTGATGTTCATGAACCAAGTGTTCCTCTGTAATGTGATTGCTTGGGAAATTTTTGACTGATCATAGTGAGCTATCCGGTCCCTTTTGTAGGGAAGTGATCTTATAAGAGCTTTGTCTTTTATTCTGTCTCCATCTGTTGATAGGATGATTTACATCTTCTGTCTGGACTGGCAGACAGGATTTAGGCGCCAATCCAGCAAACCACTGGTTTAACTGTTGTTTAACAGTTTAGCTTTAAACCTCATAGAAACTAAATTAACAGGTAAAAAAAAAATAAAACAACAAAATACAAATACTAAAACTGAACCCCCACCCCACTGCTAGCACACAACTTACCTTTAGAAGGAAATTTAGGAGATTAGGTTTTACTGGTACATGAACTATAAGTAGAATAAAAAGGGTTAAACATACACTGAGAATAGAAAAGGTAGATTAAGACTTTTGTCTTTAGTACAGAAATTAAAGGAGGGAAGATCCCTGTTTAATAGCAAACAGAGTCTCTATCTGGTGTATTTCTTTAGGCCAGTGCTGCTTGAGTGTATACCTGGCAAATAGCATAGGTTTATCCCAGATGTATGTGGTAGTTTCCTCTGGCCCAACCAGCAAGAATTACACACTGCTGATTTACAAAGAAATGACAACATATCTTTTTCTTGTGCTAACAGAATTAGTGACCACTACTCAACAGTAGTTCACAGGCAAACCTGGATATTCTAATATTTACACTAGAGGTTGCTGAAGTGTTTGTTTCTTTGCAAATTATTCTCATAATATCTTTCAAAAGCGTTAATTCTATCAGAAGAAATCACTGTCCTTGTGAATGGATGAGCTTGCAAGTTTTAAGCTATTTGAATTTATATTCATTTAATAAACTGATGATAAACCGAAAATTTGTTCTGAGTTTAGTTCAGCTTTCAGATTTATTGTACAAGTGCAAATGTTTTAGATTTTGTGTTCTATAATAGTGACCTCTTGTGTTGAAAATATGTCAGTATTTCTGGAGGAGCTTCCTGTAATATATACTGGAGGAAGTTGTATTTATTATCATTTTTAATGAGTAGATAATCTACTAACTTAGTAAAATAACTTATAATCTTCTACGATAAGTTACTAATATGCAGATCTCATACTAAGTGCATATGAAGGAAGAAGCATTTTGAGCATTGTATTCTAATATACATTGTGTGTCTCTACTGTATCTTTTAGTGAGCAGAAGAAAAAGGCAGGCACGAGTCCATCACGGCCAAGTACAGGCTGGAAGGGAAGAGAAGCAGGTACTTCATAAGGCATTTCAATCTCCAGTAAAAAAAAAATATGTGGATTACAGTAAAATAGAAATAATATATTTTTTGTGATTTGAAGATCTTTTTCTTCTGTATTTACTGAGCAATATTTTTGGTTTTCTAGGTGTATGTGGTTTTTTTACTATTATTGGAAAAGAGAAACAGTATTCAAGAGATCTTGACTCAAAATCTGTTGCTTTTTTCCCTCTTATTCTTCTCATATGTAGGCTTAAGAATTTGCCAGTCCGTTAACGCCTTGTTTGCCCATTGCTTTTTGTAAACTGGCGTAGTTGCACAGAAACTAATGAAGTCATGCCAGGCTATATTGTTTGAAGATACAGATTCTGCATTGCCCTGGAGGGATGCATTTTGCTGATTTTACATAACAGATTTTAATTAATTTTTCCTCATAGCTAGCACATTTCCTACATGGCAAGTGCCTATTTGAGGGTCTGTTACAGAAAGCTGAAGTTTCTGCTCTGCTATTATTATGCTTTATTACTATTTTTCTAGAACTGAGAAGATGCATTATTCTGGATCATTCTGGTGAAGGCTGACAATATTTACATGTCATGGGAGTTAGTATTCTGTGGGGCTGTATTTTCTCTCTTTATAGGTCTTTTAATTTATTTGTGCTGTTTTATTGGTGCTGTTGAAAATATAATTTGTATTATTAGGATTGTTCCTTTTTTATAACATTATGTAGCTTCCTTAGTTTGTGCATACTTCATTTTTAATCCCAGAATAAACAGTGGGATAGCAGCAGGAATTCTCAATCATTTCTTCTCACGTCCTGGGGGAGTGTTCATTTTCAGATTATTTCTATTTTCTCATATGATTTACGTTTATACTTTCACATTTTAGAGAGGAGGTAGACTGGTTTAATATAGATATATTCCTAGCCACTCAGTATTCCGTGAAAAGGCTAAACGTGATAAGTCAGGCAGTGCACAGCTTTTGAAGGCTCAGTGTTGCTAAGGCTCTTTTATTTACATGCTAAAAACAGCAACCAATAAATGTAGACTGATTAGGGACTTTTTTTTTTTGACCAGAATGCAAAGCTGTGGTTAAGACCTGTGAAACACTGAGACAACGAACTTCAACGTGCTGAATTCTTTTGCTTGAGTATTTTTGCTGTTGAGGTGTAATTCACTCAATTAGAAAGTTCAGGGCAGCTTCTGCAGTGTTTTAAGTACAGCTAGTGCTGTAACTTTTCATCAGCACCTTAAAAATCTCCCAGGACTGAGCCATGTGCAAGTTTACAATTTCTTAATGTTGCCTTTTTTCATAATAATGTTTTTTCTGATTATTCTTATTGCTAGGATTAATATTTTTTAGTAAAAGCTGATTATGGTTGTTTTCCTAATTACATCAAAAGCCGTTACAACTTTTAGGTTGCTGTATTTTTCTGATGAATGTGAGACAAGTGCAGCAGTGGCACAAAAAATCAGTTCTTTTAGTTCTGAACTAAAAATTGAATGGCTTTGTTTGTTTTTTGGTTGATTGGTTGGTTGGTTTTTGTGGTTTTTTTTCTAGTAAGGAGTGTGGTCATATCTGCAAATGCATACGTGAGCTATTCTATTTCTTGCTTAATAAAGTTAAGCATGTGCGTACTTAGAAAGTGAGTCTTATCTTTCAGTGTGAGAGGTAGCTACAAATTGGAAAGAAAATAAATAATTGAGCCAATATGTGGGTTTTGTGGCAGGAAGGAACAGAGCAAACTATTCTGGTGTTCTCACTTCGGCTGTGCTCTTATATTATCCAGAGCAGAACTTTCACTTCATTGTAAATGCTGTGTAGTGTTTTATTAATTAAACTACTCATTGGTCTAAATAAGACTATTAACTCTCAATCTAGAAAATGGAAAAGGTCTGCAAAATAAGTAATATTACCTAATAACATGTACTTACACTAATATGTATATATGCACAAACCAGTAATCTATAGCTATTATAATAACATACTTATCTAGTTATTACTTATGAAACAGCAGCATTTTTGTATAATCTGATGAAATAGATACAATTGATAGATTAATTCTGTGTAAAATATAGGTAGACAGGTAAAGTTAATAAGGATTAAGTTAATACAGTCTGGATTGATTTATTTTTATTTAAGAACAAGTTTTAAAATAAGAAGATTTTAATTGTTTCCATATTCCAATAAATAACGCAATAATTTTTTCAAGTTCTGAGACTGTTCTCATGATGCAAACCTGAATGTCAGTGTTCTCATGCACTACAGTATTTTTTATGTTAATGATTACATTAAGAATTTACATTGTCATTTAAATGCAAGAGCTAGTAATGAACAGTAGGAGACGCTTTCTTCTGACAAATCTGTCACTTAATGTATTCTATATTAACTATAGTCTTAATGGATTTCTTCATGTTAATTTAGTGTGACTCTTACTTCCCTATTAAAAGAAAAACCATACAAAAAAACAAACCCCATCTTTATAACAACAACTTTGGTTGCCTGCAAGATAAGGAGTTTAACCTAATCCTGAACTCCAAAAATATGCCTACATACACCCTGTAAGCACTTGTTAGATCCTTTAAAACTCAAGTTGTACAGAAACTCTGGTTCCGTAGTGGGCCAATGGGCAAGACCAGAATTCTGCCACTTCACACAGTGCCATGTGAATGTGGAAACCATGTTCAGCAAGTTGGAATAATTCCCAGTGATTAGGAGGGAAACATGCATTTTACAGAATTTAGCTAAGAAGTTCTCAAAACTAATTGCATGAAGCGATTAGAATTTTAACAGGATGTAATAACTAACAAGACTGTTTTTTCTCTAACTGACCAGAGTCTCAGTTAATGAAGCTTAATGTAACATTGTGCATGTGTACTAGGTAAAATCGTACTATCCCAGAGGATTGCCTGTACTATGGATGTTTTCTAACACAGAATAAGTTGTCATGTGGACACAGAGCTGAAAAGTAGTAGGACATGTTGATGGAAAAGTAGTCATTACCTTCCAATTCAGCAATCAAATGAAATGACGTCAGTAAACAAAACCAGATCTGGCTTTACAGTAGAGCTTTACATACCACAAGATTTATCCATCTAGTTTTGTTAGAAACTTGTTTTTGACAAAATGCAAATAAAAACAAAAGCTTGAAGAGGTAGAATAACCTATAATATAACAAAATGTAACATTTTTTGATTATTTCTTTTTTTCTGACTGATGAGTAAAGTATTTGTAGCTATTAGTTTGTGTAGAAGGTGAAACCTTTGCTGAATATGTGGTTTTGTTTTGAATGTATTTTATAGGCTTACAAGTTGAAATGAGAATAAATGAATCAGAACAGGAGGAAATCTTTTGGCATTTAAAGATTCTACCAATTCTTCAAGAACTGGAAAAAGGTAGGTAACTCTGTTGTTGAAAAGGTGTATTTTCTGTACTATTTCCTGTAGGAAACATGGGGCTCATTTGCGTTTACCACAAAAGAATAGCAGTAGTTGAACTATGTAGCTGTTTATGCTTTCATATGTTCTGTGACTTTGCAGTGTAAAATTGGCCTGGGCACCTCTCTCTAGTTGGCCCTGGTTGAGCAGGGGGTTGGACTGGATGACCTCCTGATGTCCCTTCCAACCTCAACCATTCAGTGATTCTATAAAAAGAAATATATATATACTACTGGTTTAGAGAAGATCTTGTCTTGTAAGAAAAGAAAGAAAAAAACCCCACCCCAAATCTCTTGAATTTTAAAAATAGGCAAGACTTTTTCTTTTTCCTGTAAAGCAAGCATGTATGTGATTGCATGGTGTTGAGATGCAGATTTGTAATAATTTACTGCAGGTTTTATGTTTGTACGTTTTAAATAGTGTTTGAGGGTCTCTGGTAAAGAGGTAGATGACTTTCTCATCAGTAGCCAAACAGTCCACTCAGATGTATCTTGCACCTCTACTATTCATTGGATAGTTCTAATGAATTATTACATTCACATTTTCTTAATCCCAGCAAGGTTTCACATACCAGTTTATGCATGTAGGCACAAAAATATTCCTTAACTGCTGCTTTTTCACATGACATGTTTGGTGGAGCTCTTTAAAGAATATGTTCAGTAACAGTTTCCTGGTAGATATTTAGTCAGTGTGATTATTAAGCATTAAAGGTGAGTTTCAATTTAGGTTTAGGTATCATTTTGTCTTTGCGATTGCTTGGCTCAAGTTTTTTCTTTTTGTAAGAGCAGAAAAAAAATGTTTCTGAGAATCACATCATTTTAAGAGATTCATTGGGTGCCTTATTTTTGTTGATGTGCAACCCAGTCTTTCTTTTGTTCTTCTGTTTCTTTGTCTATTGAGATGTTCTGAAAAAGGTTGTACTGATACTTATTTTTTTATTTTTGTCTCCCTTCCCACTCCCTTCAAATAGAAGACAATGTAGAAAATCTTTGTCTGGCTTGCACCAAGCTGTATCAAGCCCTGAATGAAGAAAATATGCTTGGAAAAAGATTTAAAAGAAGAAATATGCTTCTGAAGATATTATATAAACTTGTAGACATTGATTCAGACCCACTTTGCCTGAAGTTGGCAAAGATTATTCTGTCTGTAAGTGTTTTAAAGTGTTGTTTGTTAGAATAGGAACTTCAAAATCATGAACTACAATTTCCATTTAATTTTCACTTCATACTTTTAAACTGTGTCTAAACTAATCCTTTCCTAAGCACAATTTCTTGCCACATAGATACTAGGCTCCTAGTCATCCAGATCAGCACTTGTTGGAGCCTATTTTTTGCAAAGAAATTGCATCTGTGGGAGGAAGGATATAGATAAAATAGAATAACTGGTGTACATTAGTAGGAATATTGCTTAGGCATGGAAAAGAGATAGTGTCCTAAGCCAGGATATGCATGCAGGGATTTAAACAAAACTGTAATTAAAAAAATTACACATGAAAATGAGTCATAGAATCATAGAATGGTTTTGAGTGGAAAGGACCTTAAAGATCACCTAGTCCCAGTGCGCTGTGATGGGCAGGGACACCTTCCACTAGACCGGGTTGCTCAGTGCCACATCCAGCCTGCCCTTGAACAATTCCAGAGATGAAGCTTAGTTTTTTAATAGCATCTTGACCATATTGAACATGTTTATTTGAACATGACAAAATTGTTCTTTTAGAAAGTAGGTATAATTATCTCTCTTCTCTAGTATTTCCTCTTAAAACTCTCAGTTAATTGGTACTCTTGAACCTATTGGTTCAGCTTCTAAGTATGTATGGACAGTCCCTGGTGAAAGGATACTAGCTAGCACAATATGTGTGTGTGTTGGGGGGAGGGTGTGTGTTTCCTGTAAGAGGTATATATGTTATTTTTATCAGAAGATATAAATTTAGATACTACATAGATGTCAAGTGGTGCTTATTAAAAAAAAATGTTCTGTCACAGACATTTTTCTGTGGTATATTTTAAAAATCATTAACAAGATAAAAAATTGTCCTTTTCATGACCTCTCAATGATCACCGTGTTTTCTGAGGTTTGAAAACAACTTTCATTATGACATGTGTTGTTGCACTGGAGTTCCTTATGCATGTCCATAGATGCGAAACCAGTGAATATGTGCAGAATTTCTTTGTAAGAGTGAATTAGAGAAAAAAATCCACAAGTTATTGATATACTGCAGAGAATACATTAAAAGGTTTTATATCATCTGTTATTTTAAAGTCAGCCAGCACAGTTTGCTAGAGAGAGCTTAAACTAGCTAGGTTTCAGAGTCCTTTAATTCTGCAAACTTGACAGTTTGGCTGAGTGTGCTGTCAGGGTTTCGCCTGGAATTTAGTAGTTCTGTGAGAATACATGTTTGCCGTGGTGTCTGAACTTGTAAAATGTTATGGTACATTTTTGTATGTAGATTTTGGTTGTGATTTTTATGTGCTTTACATTCTTTACAGATGAAAGTGGATGGAAAAAATCTTCTCCGTGTTTGCAAGCTTGCATTTAAAATTTGCAGGAATGAAGAAAATGATTACATCATTCAAAATGACGGTTTGTTGGGTATGTATTCTGTTCCTGTATATAAGTTAGGTGTTGAAATGCAATAGTCAGATCTTTCAAGAAACGTTCTCAGAGTTAACTTAGTCATGCATTAAAAGTTGCTTACTAGGTCAAACTAACAGTCCATCTAGTCAGTATTCTGTGTCTAGTGATGATGACAGGGAATGCTGTTTAGGGAGAGTGTAGAAGCCCACGTGTTTTCTTTGATCCATTTCCCTTGTACTATCACAGAATCTAGAATTGTTACGTTCTATTTTCTGTTAGGGATATTAGGTGGGGCATCCTTGCCTAATCCTTCTGAGCTTCTGTATATAGATCTCTTGTTCATTAATTTGCCTTATTCCTTTTTGAACTTTCTGCTTCTGTCTCTGCAATCTCACAGAGCAGTAAGTTTCAGAAGTTCTCTGTCTGCTGTTTCAAACCTATCTACTTGTCATTATGCCCCTGCTTGTAGCTTTGCATGATTTAGAAGAGTTTCTACAGTCAGCTGACCTTCCACCTTCATGGTTTGGTAACCTGCACTCATATAGCATATCTTTGTCTTTTCCTTTTCAGACTTGGGCATCTCAGCCTTTTAGCTGTCTCTTTGAAAGAATATTGTGTCATTCTCTTGTTGTTTTAGTAGCCCTTTTCTGTAACTTCTCCAACTCCAGCAGATCCTTCTTGAGATGTACAGAACAAAGTTGTCCACAGAAGTCAGAATGTGTCTGCACCAATTTTTATACAAGTGAAATAATGCTGTCTGTGTTGTCAGCCATCAGCAGGAAGGGTATTGAGAACAATCATTGCCTTTTTAGCTGCCTCTGCATGTTTCGCTGATGGTTTTGGAGAATTGGCAGCAGTAGCTTTAAGATCTCTTTTGTTATTGTAACTGCATTTGTATCATACACATGCACCTTACAAATAGCAGGAAAATGACAGTCTATGAATGATACTCAGTATCAGTTGCTGGTCATTCCTTTCATTAAAACTTCACTATGTTTTATTAATGTAGGCTTTGATTTTGCAAATAATCTTTTTTTTTTGTAGTATGTGCATAAGTTAAAGCATATGTGTGTATCTGCTTAAATAGATGAGAGTATTCACGGTCTTAGAGACCAGATAAACCTTTCCAGCAGTAAGGTCAACAGGAAAGGACTTGGAGAAAAGAGAACAGCCCAGGTTGTTCAACTGACTTTGAATACTGAGAACTACAGTTTTGTAGAGATGAGCATCATACAAAAGTCTGAACGAGCTGAGTGGCTGTCTGTTTAAGCACTGGATTTTTTGATCTCCTTTCCATCTTTACTCACTTTTCTTTCACTTGCTCATCTTTCCCTTAATTTTAAAACTAGTGAAGGAAAGATGCTTTTGTCAGGAGTTTTCTTATTTGTTTATTCAGTCTACGTTTTTGATCCACCTTATCCAGACTGTAGACATGAACCTCATCATAATCTGGGTTGTCATCATAATCAAGATTCCTTATACAATTTATTTTTGTTTCTCTGGCCCTGTGAACCATTTGTGTGCATCTGGAACAGCTCCAGTAGAAGAAAGAAATTAACTGTTTGTTCTAAAATAAACAACTACTGTTCAAGACCCAATGTGATACTGAGCAGAACAGGAACCTGAAACTGATTTCTCACATTGCCACAGCCCAATTGATTTAGCTGACCACTAGGTGTTCAATGAAAGTGGGAGCTGGAGCAAGAGCCTAGAGTTGTGTGTATTTCAACCATATACACCCATGTACTTGGAGAAAGTTTCAGCTTGAGTTGAGACTAAAAGACTTTTAGAAATCTCTTTAAGTTTAATGAGATGTTATTGTTTAACGAGCAGTTATTCAGCTGGATGGAACACAGGAAGCAGAAGTAAATATCAGTTTCAATCAGTTACTAGAAATTCAGAATTAAAAAATGGGGTAGGTTTACTTATTTAAGATACACTTACCAAATTCAGCATGTCTGTTTGACTGTGAAGATCCATTGGGCTTGTGGTAACAGCTGTTAATTTTGACATTTCAAATATCTGACAGTGGTAGCATAAAGCAAAATCTTTATAGTAACTTTACCTACATAGAAAGTAAATCTAAAAAGGACATGAACAGACTTCAGGTGTGAGATTTGAGTTAGGCACCTGTGCTTTTCAGTGCTTCATTTGAGATGTTTAAGACATTTGATTTTTAAGAAAGTAGTAGAATAAACCTCTCAAGAATGTCTGAAGTTTAGTACACAAAATTACACACACACACTCATTTTTGCAAATCTTGACTGAGATTTTCAGTGATTACTGCTATGTGTGTACAGCTGGTGCAGGTTCTTGAAGCCTGATAGAACAAAAGTCAGGCCCATTCTCTTGTTTGTCAATAATTGTTTGTTGGTTTCAATCCAAATGCCCAAGTCTTCTGGCCCACTTGTTAGAAATGTAACAGTTCAATCTGAGGTTTTTTTCTCAGTTGTTAATCTCTTTAGTAACTTGACTGTATCAAATATTAATATTAGGCTTTCTGAATAATTATTTTCCTTTTAGATTGTTTGTTGGAAGTTCTGAGAACTGAAGATCTACAAAAAAACAATGAAGCTCTCTTGTATTGCATGGGAGCTATAAAATTCATGTCTGGAAATGCAGTACTCCTTAATGAAATGGTGAAAAAAGGAGCTGTTGAAATGTTGCTGCAATTAATGAAGCAGATTAATAATATAAAAGAAAATGACAGCTATTTCTCCAACTTGGGGCACCTATTAGTCCAGGTTAGCATTTACTTTTATTTCTAAAAGTACACACTTAAAAAGTAAATTCAAAATTTAATTAAAGGTGGTAAGAAAACCCTGTGTGCCACAGAGTTGTACCTGTATTTGAATAGTCTTTAAGAAGTTTACATGAAGTTGTTCAGGACCTAAATTTAATTATCATAGATATTTTTGTGTAGTCAATTTTAAAGGATTTAGAAATTCTGAAGTTAACAAATATTTTTATGTAGATAATAAACCAGTTTCTTCTTATTACTTTATGGTGCTGTTAATATTCTGGATATTATAGTAAACAGATAAATATGTGTTCCCTGTCTAAGTTCTTTAAACTGAAATAGTAAATACAAACTGGTTTTACAATACTTTGGGAGGTGACAGAACACTTTTTATTACAAGAACAATGTATTTCAAAGAATGCATAGGAAAATATAACTGTTTCTCTGACGAAGTGTTTTTGAAGAACTGATTTAAGGAAAAGGTATCTGTAAAAGCCAACACTTTTTGAATAATTTTGAAGGCAGCAGGCTCAAAACTATCTTTTCACATATAAGGTACCTTGATGAGGTAGAGGATGAGGTGTAGCTAAATCTTAAGGTATGTATAGGATGTAGGGTTTTTTTGTATTTGTCAAGGATTTGGCAGGTACATTCCTGGCATTTGTTGTTGGAATTACTGAAGTAAAGAGCAGTGAATGGTGTAATTGTAAGGTTTTGGGGGACTTCCTAGGAAAATACACTGAACAATTTACTAAGGTCATATTGACATTCAACTTCTCTACTAATTATGCCAGTTTTTTTTCGTTGTCTGCTAACTTAAAATCAAAGGATTTTATGCTACTTGAGATTATATGAGAAAAAAGCTTACATCATCAAGTTACTATTACTGGTTTTTGTCTATTTATTTTAGTGGAGCTATGAGGTGTGTCTCTCCAGGATAGTCATAAACCAAACAAACTGGGAGATGCTAGAAACCGCTGAATGAAATGGGAGATGCTAGAAACCGCTGAATGAAATGGGAGATGCTAGAAACCACTGAATGAAATGAGAGATGCTAGAAACCTCTGAATGAAATGATGTGGCTTAGTACGTACGTTTGGCTAAGAAAGTCCCAAAGTGGCAAATTGCTGAAGAATGGAAGAATATGTGATGAGACTGGAAATTTTGTGCTTGTCATGTTCCTGTTTTCTTTCCTGTGTGGTCCTGTCATCATTAAATTCCTATATAGATCACAAAATTATCTTTTATACACTTCTGTCTTTAGAATTGGGAATGTTAACTTTCTTGTGGCACTGTGAATTCTCCAAACAGTTCTACCCCTGAAAGATGGTAGATTGAGATTAGGAATTAGTTCCTTACTGTGAGGGTGGTGAGGCACTGGCACATGTTGCCCAGAGAAGTTGTGGCTGCCCCATCCCTCACAGTATTCAAGGTCAGATTGGATGGTCTAGTGGAAGGTGTCCCTGCCCATGGGAAGGGGGCTGGAACTAGATGATCTTTCAGGTCCTTTCCAACCCAAATCATTTCATGATTCTATGATTTATAAAATCATCTATATTAGTGCAGATATTTAATTTTTCTTCCTCCTGTGAGGAAAGCAGTACTTCCTGCTCCTATGTGACTTTTTCGTATCAGTTGCTTTAACAAATTTACATTAATGTGCACCATTTCTTACATGTGAGTTAATTGTTCAGTCCTGATAGACAGTTCTGTCTTCAGGTATATAGTATAGAACAAAGCTTTGTCTACAATTTATGTTTTCTGAATAAAGGAAATTTTTGCGTCATACTTTAACTTGTAGTGAAAGATCAATTATCCAGTGGCATACAGAAAACAGTCAGTAATTACAAGTCTTCAGGAATAAGGAGAAAATTATACTGGAGGAGAAAGCACCTTAAATAGTCATAGTGGTCTCTGAGGGAGACTCTGCCATCTTTTAATGCTGGTGACTGAAGAAGCTCAGTTAACTGGTACCAACTTTCTGTTCTTTAACCGTATAGTTGCACAATCACCAGATGGCAGTGTTACGCATAATCTTGCCAGGTCCTTTCTGTGGGAACAAACTCCCTCTCTGATTTCTTCAGTGTTACTCAACAGATTTTATGTAGAAATTCCACAATACAAGAATAAAAATATTTGTAATAATAATTATTTTTCCTTAAGAGAGGACATGAAACCAAGGTCATTTTTGACTCATGTTGTGTTGCTTCACTTAATAGTCTGATTATATTTGTATGAAATATGGTAATGCTTATTCAAAAGCCAAGGCTTTTGAAGTGTTGCTGACAAGACTTAACAAGTATTCCATGTTCTTTAATTGAAAAGCACTTAAATGTCTTCTCCTTTAAAAATAGCATTTGTCTGCTGTGAAATTTTTCTGTTTGGATGAATTTGATCTTTTGCATGGCAACATAAGGATTAGGGCTGGTGAGGATTACTAGAGCCAATTGTTATGCATTTCTTCCTGAATCATGGCATCTGCTTGAAGCAATCAGAGTATCTCTGGAATTCACTTGCTGTCTGGATAGCTTCTATTATTTTTTAATGTGTACTCTTCAAATTTCACTTGAGTACTAGCTAATCTTTTGAATTTCATTGTCTCGCACATTTAAACGTATGCATTATTTTGCATTGCTTTTCCTTTCCAACTTTTTATTGCAAAGTTTAGCTAGACCTCAACAAGTATCATCCTAAGCTGAATGTGACTGTCTAGTATGGGAGCACTGAATGGAGTCTTCTGTGTCTATTCCATTTGGCAAGAGTTCGTCCACTAAAACTTCTCAGTAGCGAAGTACATATTGGAAAATTTTTATTTAACATTATCTCCAGTATTTTGTTGATTTTTGAAGCATTATGACTTGTGATATGCTTGTGAATGCATATCTAAAGATGTATGTTTACAGTTGTTCAGTTAAAATAACAAGAAACTCCCGGTGTCTTTGTAAAGTATGAATATGAAGCAAATGGCTTCTACTGATTCAGTTTCTGTTTATTCTGTAGATAATATGCATTTCATATTTAATTTTGAAGCTAAATCCATTTGCATATAACTTCCCCCCCCCACCTTGCTTCTCTCATTTTGACACATTGTTCCTTCTCCCATTCTTCTATCACAGAACACTGAGCAGTAACTGAAGACATACACACTTTTGCCAAATTCATTGAAGCAGGACAGTGAATATTAAAGCAGTTTGAGAAACGGCTGAGTAGTGCATAGAATCCTATGAGCAAAAGCTCCTCAAACACAGCAACTTAACCTGCTCTTTGCCAGATGTTTCCTTTGAAATGAACAATTACATGTAACTGGACAGGAGGTCCAATTCAGTGTTAAGATACTTGATTTCCAGAGGGTTTTTTGTGATAACAAAAAATTTAAACAAACAGCTTTTGCATCTTACCAGACTACATTTAAAACCAAATTGAAGTTAAATAACTTACTCCTAAAGAAAATGTGAAGAATTCCCATATTCACAGAGATTAAATGGCTTCACGTTAATTTTATAGTAAATTCTGGTTTAGATCAACCATTAACTTGCATGTCGTTGCCTGTCTGACCTTGGCATTTGAGTACCCTTACCTTGGAAGAGAACCGGAACATTTAAAAATATGCAATAGATTATTCATTTTGCATATATCTGACCTATAAGGGATTAGATATTTTATGTTTAAAATGCCTTGAAATAGAACAGTAACTTCTGAAAATATTTTGTTTTCTACAAATACACTTGAGGACTTCAGCTTTTCATTTCTGTACTGTTCAAATAGTAGATTTATTTTGATTAACTTCTAAAATTTTAGATCACAATAAATTTTGTTGCCTTTTAAAATAAATTTAGCTTAGTTTTCAACTTACCGTTATTATCAAAATCTATATTATCAAATATATATATAGTTATGTATACTCTATATAACTGATACATAAAAAACCTGATATTTTAGATATTATATATTCTATTATTATATGCTATAATATACAATGTATATATTATCAAAATATATACAAAGGATTACTTTGTAAGATGTAAATGTAAATTTGCAAATTCGGACATTATGCAAAAAGTCACTTTATCCACAGCATTTAACCTAATTTCCAATTGGTATATGCTCGTATAGATGCATACAAGATTTTAAAACGTATGGAAGATGATGTTGCCCTCAGAGAAGGAGGCTACATGCAGGCAAAGACCAGGATCAAGCTTTCATTTTCAAGCACTTCATATACACAATGTTGTTACTCACACATTTCCTGTTACAATTTATTGGTAGATCCACCCCTGCAGAACGTTATCAGAGCGTTCAGACTGCCTTAGACATTACGCGTGAGATGTGAGCTCTATTAAATTTTCAGAACAGCATGAATTCTGCTGTAAGCGGCTGGGATTAATAAATCTTCAAATATTGTGTCTGCAGCTGACAGCTACCTTGCGAAACTTGGCTGACTTGGCTCCGGCGAGACGCCAGCTCATCCGCCGTGGTGCAGCCTCTGAGCTCTGTGTGGCGCTAGAGCAGCGCATGAGGGATAAGGATGTGTGCACCTACATTGCCAGGATATTCAGGTATGTGTAGAACGTAGTCCTGTTTCTTCATGCAGTCAAATTGGTGTTACTGCTTCGAGTGACCCCGCTAAAATTGGAAGGTTTACATTGAATTGTTTTCTTAAAAGCTCTGTGTAGATTTTTAATGATTTTGTACAATAATTGTGTCTTTATTATTTAATTATAGCCATATAATTATGGCTATATAGAATTATTTAATTATAGCCATACAAACTTGGATTCATTGTCCCTGTGAAAAATGTTTTGTTGTATTGTGTCATTCTTTGATCCTAAGAATTCTGATCAAGATTTTTAAAGTACCGTTTCTTATATTTTAAAGCTGCATAAATTTTATGTTAGGCCATGTTTAATAAAACCAAGATCAATTACACAAGCTTAAATGGCATCAGGGACTGTGTTTTATGAAATAAAATGCAAAAGAGAGAAAATGTGACTGGTGTTCATTGTTTTGAGCTGTCAGAGAGTGTTTGAGATTAATCTGTGGGATCAGGGCTTGAGTGTACAGATAGAAGCGCTGAAAGAATCTCCATTTTCTGAGCAGTTCAGTGGCTGCTTCCCAAGATGTGTTTTTTAGAGGGAGACCAGTAGGAGTGAATCAGCCTAAGAGATGCTTTTGTAGTCTGAATAGTTTCTCAGTCAAAAATCTTCCAGTTACCAAGTACCAGCTTGCAATATCCAATGCTAAATGAACTTGCAAACAATGTAAGGATTTTGAAGAAGTTGTGAAAGTAGCTGTTAGTAAGTTTAGTAGGAGCTGGGTTATAAGCACAATTCATGAATGCTGTTCTGGATGAAGTATTTAACATTGCTGCTTTGTTACTGTATTGAGTCATGTCACCTGTTGGCTCCATGTTCATTGGGATTCTGCTATGGACTGCTTTTCCTGTTCAGCCCCTCCAAATTATCCATCACGTTCTCCTTGCTAGGTGAGATTGTCTGTGCTTAGAAGAGCAGCTACATAAAGGAGTGTCATTCCTCTCCACAGCTAAAACCAGGCAAATTGTGTCCTTTGCTGTTTGTGCTAACTGTAAAGCATGTGAATTGCTTTCACAGTTCCAAACTGCATTGTCCACATCTGTCTCTCTAATTTTGTTCCTAAAAATAAGTTGAGTTCTGGCAACAAATTACATCACTTTGAGCATATTTACTTCTTCTAAGGAGAGAGCATTTCTTTTACTTGGAAAATGCCATGGAAAGTGGGGTAATGGGTTTGTAATTGTAATCGGTATCGATATTTATACTGTAATTCTGACAAGGACATTTATTTGATCTAGAATTCAATATGGAGCAAAAGTTATTTGTCTTATTTAAGGTTTCCTACTGTTTCACTATTTTTTTTCTTAAATTTAGTGAACTGCATGCTCCAAGGATACAAATTAGCCATAAAATCAGTGTAATTAGCTTCCTGGAAATTGCAGTCACATTACAAAAAATACTGTACTGTACAGAGCACAGATTAGAGTTGTTTTGTCTTCTACTAATACAGAATGATTATTCTTTTCTCTCAGTCAGTTTACTTTAGGTAGCTTCCTTGCAGAGAATATGTTCAATCTATTCTGTTCAGATGATTCATTTCTCCAAGTCTGTAGGTCTTGCTGTAATTGGTTGTAATTGAACATCAGCACAGTTATTGGCTGGTTTTGACTTTATGGGAAGTAAGAAGTTGTCCTAGTTTGTTCTGTCATTGCAATAGTTCTGGTATGACCAAAGCACATCCAATTCTCTGTTTTTGTAATGGTCAAGATGAGCAGTGTAGGACAGCAGCAGATGTTAGGGAATGCACAGAGATAAAATTGCAACTGCACAAAGGCACGTTTTTCATATTTGCTGGTGAGAGATGTGTTCTGTCAGTGCTGGGCTCCACGAGGTGTGCATTAGGAAGGGACCCTTTATTTCCTCTCTTGTGTGACTTTCTGTTCATCTTGAAATTACAGTTCTGCCATTTAACACTAAGAAGTGCTAGTGTTAGCATACTGTGCCCATATGGCAAGCAGGCTGGGAAGCTTCTTATGTTTACTTCTTCCTGTAATTAACTGTGGCATGGGTAGCTAGACTTCTCTCTTAGAGTGATGGCATTCATTTTATTTGTTGGAAAATACAGCTCTGAGAGTAAAAAATAGAGTGATTTTTTTCTAAAAGGATCTTTTGTGGGGAAAAAAGTGCTTTCATTTACATCTGTTGTATTTTTGTCTCTTTGTAGCAAACTTTCTTCCTACAATGATTTCTGCGCAGCTTTAGCAGACTGCTCCAGATGTTATGTCTTATTTTTAGCCCTACTAAACAAACACCAGAAACAGCAGGTCAGTTTTTAAATCTCTTGATTTTTATATATTAATCCTTGGATGTGTCTGTGTATTATTGTGTATAAGCTTGTTTTCAGTGACCTACTTCTATGCATTTACCAAATAAAAATTTTAAATGGTTGACAGCATTTTTAAGTAGTAAATAATTGAAATGAAATAATTTAGATTAAAAATCCAAAGCAATACAGAGGACAGACAGTCGATTAACTTGTCTGTCCTTTGCATGTGTAGAAAGCAATTGTTTGAGTATTTAATAATAGGAAATTATTGGGATTTCTCCTGCTCTCCTTCTCTGAAAAATGAGTGTGGATTTTTCAGAGTTAAGCAGTCTGAAAACAGTTCCTCTGATAACTGCATAAGGTATCAGAATGTATCATCTACCAGGGAAAACCATATACCTAGGATAGTGCATCTGAAACATTCACCTAGAAATAAATGTTTAAGTTTTGACCTCCAGGGATCAGATATTCCTGTATTGTCCTGGTGTATCAGTGGTCTTCTATGTTTATTGGAGCACCAGACTCAGGGGGTTTGGTGCAGGATCACAGTTTTAAAGACCACCACGTAGGTAAGAGTGGTGTTCCCCATGTATGGCAAATTACTTAGCTCTATTGCCAGGTAAGATTTAAGAAGAAAATAATTTTTATGTAAAGCATGGATGTTCAAAGGTAGAATGAGGTTTCAAAACATAGAACATTAAATTATATTCAGGTTAGGCTTAAAAGTAAGGAACTTCCTTGGCTGCTCCAGCATCTAAATTAGCTTGAGGACATTTGGTTATCCTATACAGTTTCTCCCAGGGTTAGTAATTCCTGAAGAATTGTTGAAAGAAGGTCTTGCGTGCTGCTGTTGTTAAAGGCAGAAGGTAACCAGATCAGCTACACTGAACAATTTGTTCTCTCTCTTGCCAAATACAAAAATAATTTCTCCCTTTCCTGTTTACCTGCATCCCTGGTTTTGGTGGTAACACTCGTGGAAAAGAAACAAAGATGAAGTTGTTTCTACTCTTCTAAATGCCTGTCGATTAACATTTCTTCAGCATATCTGAGTATTTCTAGGTTCAGGCTGCTCTTGGATTGTATGGTCTTCAAAGACACTTTAGTTAAAAACGCTATGTAAATGCTATGTAAATAATATGAGAAATATCAAAGGTGTGCTATTTTACTAGCTTTATAGTTATTTTTCCTTGTGAGCGCTGTATTAAAAACTCAGCAAATGATGGACTGGGAATAAAAAACTTAAATTGAATGAAATCTTCCTCTCAATCTTCATCTGTAATTTTAAGGGGAAGTTTTCTAGGCCTCTGAGATAACAGTTTTGTGTTACAACAAATTGTAGGCTCAAACATAAATTCAAATTATTTGTTGCCAGGTAGTGCTGAGAATTTAGCTTCACATTTGTCTACTTTATGAAGTGGTCCTAAAATACATCATTCTTCACTAGATTAGCATTGCTTTTTGTGTTAAACTGTCAGTTGTTTTATCAAAATACAAGTTAGTAAAGAAATAGCCCATGTATTAAAAAAAAACTTAGTTATTATGTTGTGATGATTATGTGTGCAGTCTTCAGAATAATTGTTTCTTGGTGCAGTTTTTAAACAAGCATGCAACTGTCAGTTGTCAGCTTAGTGAAGCCCTGCAGAAACAAGAAGAGGGACATAGATAATGTAATGCGCCACTTTTTTCTGTAGTATATAATAAACACTTCAGCTGTGAGGAGTGCAAATGTTTTTCCTGAGGTGTAGTTGGCACTGCTAATCTTTCTTTTAAAATGCTGACAGCTAGTGAGTTACAGCATGAGTTGGGATGTGTTGAAAGGAAAACAGGTAACAGCAGTATGAGCAAAATTGTCTGCTGGGGAAGAAGCAAAGAGGAGGATAAATCGGTATTATTAACTCAAAGCATTAAAAATCCTCAGGACTAAGAACCAATATGTTAAGAAAGGAAGTAAGTTTTCTGTATTTTCAGGTTGCAGAGTTTATGGGATCAGGTTTTTTTACTAGCAATCATGGCAGCAGAAATCTAATGGGAAAAAATAAAAGAAAATGAGCATTCAGACTTTCTCATAAGTATGACTTCAAAAATAAGCATTAAAGCTTGTGAAAATAAAAATGTGAGCACTGGAAATAGGATTAATGACTTGCTGCCATACCACTCACTGAATTCCACAGCTGCCACCCAAATAGTGTCTGTTTTTCTCACCACACTGCAGTTTCAGCTCTATTCTTTTTTCCCTTTTTTTTTTTTTTTTCCTCAGCTCATTTTTCTCTTGGGTAAAAGAGTGAGAAGGGAGAGTAGTAATTTAACTCTGAGAAAAACTTTTTTGGGGAAACGGAGTTGGCAAAACTTACTAAATTCATGTGTAATTCCTTGGGTAGGGAAGGATTGGAAAAGCTGGATCTGTAAGGTAGGACTTGAGTATTCAGCAGTGCTTGTCTGAAGTACATATTCTGTTGGACTTCACTTGTCAACTTGTGGTTGGTTTTATGTGAATAATGAAAAAACCCTTGGTAGTTGCCACATGCTGTGAAACCTGTCAGAGGTGTTCTTGTAAAGCCTCTACCTTGAGGGTGAGCTTTGCATGCTTCTGTTTCTAGTCAGCATTGTAGACTTTTGCCCATCTCCAGAAATCTTTTAACGAGATGCTGTTCCCCTTTCCCAGATCATAATCATCTCTAAGCTTTTCAGATAAGCTATATAAAGGATGAATTTCCCAGGCTGTGGTTAATGTTATAAGTCACAAGGAAGCCATGCTTTTGGAACAGGAAGATTGCCTAAATAGGGCAGTAGCTTCTGACACTACCCAAGCTTAGGTGGCCTTCTGTGGGCCTGCCAGCTTCAGTGTAATCTTTTATCAGTGTACAGTTAGGAATCTGTTTTCAATCCTAAGTGCATAAACACAGGGTGTGCTACTAATATTTGCATAGAGGAAGACTTGTCCCTGTTGTATACAAAAGCCCCTTTATTCTTCAGCGTAGCCTACTTTTTAATTAGGAAACGTTTGTAAATATCTGACAACGCTGGATGCAACAACTGCCTATTCAGCAAAAGAATAATCACATGAGGTCACGTGACAGATTCATCTAGCTGACTGTTCATACTCAGCAGTGGTGAAAATCAGGTGCCTAAAGAACAGCAAAAACAGAGCAAGCACATGTGGAACTTCCTGTGTATACTTAACCAAACCTCCAGCTCTTTCCAGTCTGGAAACTTCCTCAGCCAGCTGTAGTTTTTGTGTGTATGCAATAAATCTCAGTTGACTTCCATGAAATTTGACAGTCTCTCCTCTGCCCCAAATAAACTTCTAACATGTTAACCATCCCTTGGCAAGGAGTTGTCATAGCAACTGTCCATTGCACAAATAATTCCTTTTGCTTGTTTTAAATTTGGCCTTTACCATCTTTATTCGATGCCCTCAGATATTGAAAAATTGATAAGTATTTAATCCTGTCATTTGCTTCACAGCACCCTTGACTTTCTAGACCTTTATAATATCCTCTCTGAGTTACCTCTTTTCCAGGCTGAAGAGCCCTTGCTTAGTTAAGAGTCCTTGCTTTCGTAGTACTTTCTGATACAGTGGCTATTCCGTACCATTGTGCATCTGTGTTGCTTTTCTCAGAACTTTTTACAATTGTGATTCCTGTATCTTTATTTTTGAGATGAGGTAACCAGAACATGGCAATTAAGATGTGGCCATATCATAGATTTACATGCCTTCACAAGTTTATTTCCCAGTAATTCCCAGTATTATATTTACTTTCTTGATCTCCTGTGAGCATTAAACCCCCATGTGGAATCTGTCATTATCCCTGAGATTGCTCTCCAGGAGGATATGGTTGGTTCAAAGGCTGTAATTTTATAAATGAAGGTATGTCTACTCTGTGTTTTAACACATGCATCATTTCATGTTTTATCTGCATTTAAATTTCATCTGCTGTTTTATTACCAGTTGACTACAAATCCTTTTTCTGCTCTTCAGTCAGCCTTCATCTTTGTGGCTTTGAATATCTTAACATCAGCAGCTAACTCTCCCATGAAAAATAATTTTTCCTTCTGAAAGTAGACACACCACAAGTGCTTTCATGAAGGAGAATATCATAGAATCACAGAATGGGTTAAAGCTCATCTAGTTCCAACCCTGCTGCCCTGGGCAGGGGCACCTTCCACTAGACCAGGTTGCTCAAAGCCCCATCCAACCTTGCCTTGAACGCTACCAGCAATGGGGTGGTCATGGATCCTCTGGGCAACCTGTGCCAGTGTCTCACCACCCTCATAGTGAAGAACTTCTTCCTAATATCTAATATAAATCTACCCTCCGTCAGTTTAAAGCCATTCCCCCTTGTCTTATCACTACATGCCCTTGTAGAAAGCCCCTCTTCAGGTTTCTTGTAGGTCCCCTTTAGGTACTGGAAGCTGCTCTTAAAGTCTCCTTGGAGTCTTCTCTTTTCCAGGCTGAACAAGCCCAGCCTCTCTCAGCCTGTCTTCATAGGAGAGGTGCTCCAGCCATTAGAATAACTTAGTGGCCCTCCTCTGGACTTGCCCCAACAGGTCCATGTCCTCCTATGTTCGGGGCCTCAGAGCTGAATGCAGTGCTCCAGGTGGGGTCTCAAGACAGAGGCACAGAGTGGACGAATAACCTCCTTTGGCCTTCTGGTCACACTCCTTTTGATGTAACCCAGGACATGGTTGGCTTTCTGGGCTGCAGACTCACACTGCCGGCTCATGTTGAGCTGCTTATCAACCAACACGCCCAAGTCCTTCTCCTTAGGACTGTTCTCAATCCATTCTCCGCACAGCCTGCATGTGTGCTTGGTCCACCTCTCAAGCATGTCAGGGTCCCTCTGGATGGCATCCCTCCCCTCTAGTGTGTCAACTGCACCACACAGCATGGTTTCATTGGTAAACTTGCTGAGGGTGCACTTGATCTCAATGCCCATGTCGCCGACAAAGATGTTAAATGGTGCTGGTCTCAGGTACCAATCCTTGAGGAGCCCCACT